ATCTACACAAATTGTACTTACGGAATTTATGACAAATGTAACAAATTCAGCCACATACAATAGAACTTACGTATAAAAGTTAACGACACATAATTAAACAGCATAAAAATAAATTTTTAACACAGAGATTTAACAAAATTTATTTCTAATCTTTAATTTGGAGCAACTTAAATATATTTATAGAGTTGTGTACTTTGTTTAAATTTTTCTATAATTATCAGCGATTCCGGGCTGCCCCAACCCGATATTTTCCTGTAAGATGTTGATTTATATATATATATAACGTCTTAATAATAGTCAACGATCTTTACCACGAGTGCGCTGGATCGTTACGAGTAACGATACATGTAAACAATAAATTATATAAACGCCTGAAAAGTGTACAAAACAACACCAATAACAAAAAAAAAAAACTATAAATGTACATATTTATAAATATTTCGGAAAACAGATACCCTTCATCAGTATGATTATGATCATGGATGTCAAATGAATCATATCAATCTACTTTGATTAAACCATAACAATCTTGAAATTTATACAATAAAACAGTTAAACCGAACATCATAGTTTAGACGCTTGTACAATTCTAAAAATTTTAAAACATGACATAGGTTATATAGTTATTTACAACAGAGACTGCAAAGATATGCTTCAAATAAAAATAATAATGTGCGATATGAACTGGCACAATTCTTAAATTTAAAAGGTGACGACAGTTACGATAACGATTGCGTGAATAAACATTCCAAATATACAGCACCGACCGATCTAAGTTTGTAAATAATTCAAATTTGACAACGGTAGAGTAATTACAACAGAGGCTGCGTATTTAAACATCCCAAATAAATAGCAATTAAAAAATATAATAATAAATTTCGACTAAGGTTAAATAGTTGAACGTGACTGGGTACTTTTACATCCCTCCAAAATGAATAGAACCAAGCAATTGAAGGTAAAGAAATAGAAGCAGAGACTGTAGTAATATGTAATATAACCCAATTGTAAAGCACTGCGCGAATTCGAACTACATCTTTTCATTTATCCCATTTGGTGCCAAAGTTCTTAATTTTCTTATCCAAAATCTTTCCCGAGTGAGTCTATTCTCCTTAGACCAAGCAGTGTTGTGGTCAATGATTGTAATGGTCAGTCGATTGAGATCTGCCTGAGTGTGGCCAGGGGATCTCAAATGTCGACTTAGGGGAGGTCTGGCTTGCATTGGTAGTCGCTACGATGGCCATTGCACCAAGAGCATTCCCTACAGCCAGGCCATACGAATAAAACGGATTTGCTCCACCAACGATACTGCAAAAAGACGACTGCAAGAACTTCGCGGTCACCTAAAACATCGGGGCTACAAAAGAAAAGACATTGATAAAGGCTTCTCTCGTGCTAACAACATCAGCCGAGATGAACTTTTACAATATAAAGACAAAAAGGCCAACAAGAGGGTGCCTTTTGTGTTGACTTACCATCCCAAATTTGACAACTTATCACACCTAATCCGCGAAAATTGAAAAGAAATCGAAAAACATCCTAAACTATCCAAGATCTTTCCCGAGCCACCTGTACTAGCTTTCCGTACGCCCAAAAGCCTTAAAGACTTGCTGGTGAGAGCTGATTTATCCTCTAAAGCAGGCTCTTCTTCTGTGGGCACCTTGCAATGGTTGCGGAAACAAACGATGTCTGACTTGCAAACAAATACTGTATACCCAGACTTTTAACAGTCACTCCACCGATACAGAAAACACCATATTTTGCAATGTTAATTGCAAGACAACAGATGCTGTGTATTTTCAACAGTGTAAACGTAGTAAACAGTATGTTGTCGAGTCAGAACAGCCATTTCACAAACGAATGAACGGCCATCGTAGCGACTACCAATGCAAGCCAGACCTCCCCTAAGTCGACATTTGAGATCCCCTGGCCACGCTTAGGCAGATCTCAATCGACTGACCATTACAATCATCGACCACAACACTGCTTGGTCTAGGGAGGATAGACTCACTCGGGAAAGATTTTGGATAAGAAAATTAAAAACTTTGGCACCAAATGGGATAAATGAAAAGATGTAGTTCGAATTCGCACAGTGCTTTACATTTGGATTATTGATTTTTACTACAATCTCTGCTTCTATTTCTTTACCTTACTCAACTCTAAAATATTTTGTAATTATATCAGTTTAAATTGCTTGGTTCTATTCATTTTGGAGGGATGTAAAAGTACCCAGTCACGTTCAACTATTTAACCTTAGTCGAAATTTATTATGATATTTTTTAACTGTTATCGTAACATCGTAACTGTCGTCACCTTTTAAATTTTACAATTGTGTCAGTTCATATCGCACATAACTATTTTTATTTGAAGCATATCTTTGCAGTCTCTATTGTAAATAGCTATATAACAAATGATGTCCGGAAAATGAGTCACTCATTCTATGTTTTTTTCATTTATGCCCTCTGGGGAAACTGTCCTTAGCTTTCTTATCCAAAACCTTTCCCGAGCAAGTCGAAAAAAACATAGAACGAGTCACTCATTTTCCTGACATCATTTGTTTCCAGTTACTCCGGCTTCCTAACTCGACTCTTACAGTTTTAAGGATTCTTTTGGATTTTTTTGAATTTTACTAGTTTAAATACCAGGGTTCTTTTCATTTGGTAGGGATGTACAAGTACGCATCCACGTCCAATTATTTAACCTTAGCCCAAATTTACTATTATTTTTTCTTTTCATTATAACACTGCTATTTATTTGGAATGATAAATACGCAGCCTCTGTTTGACATATTTTACCAGCTTATATCGATCAGTGCTATTTTTTTTTTGGGGAATGTATTTACACGCAGTTGTTGTAACATCTTGACTGACGTCATTTTGGAATTTTAGAGTAGTGCCAGTTCATATCTCTAATTACTATTATCATTTTAGGCATGTCTTTGAGCCGTTTTTTGGAAATTTTAAAAAATTATTAGCGTCTCTACATATGATGTTCGGGTGAAACTGTTTCACTTTTTTTATTGTATAGAATTCAAGATTGCTATAGTTTAATAATCAGAATAGATTGATCTGATTCATTTTACATCGTGCTCATACTGATGAAGGATATCTGTTATCCGAAATATTTATAGTTACATTTGTTTGTTTATTGTCATTTTTTGTTGATGTTGTACCCTTTTAAACTGGTTATATATATATAATTATATATATCTTTTAAATTCACTTATTATACGTTAATGAAAGTATTAATTGAATTGCATAAGGAAATGATAAAAATTGTCAACTTTCATTGAAAGACCGTACCTCCTAAATAACAAAAAAGTGAAAATTATTAAAAGGTAACTTAACTCAAATTTTGCTACAAGAAACAGTGTATTCTTATACTATTGTTTCAGAAAAGGGAGAATGTTTGGTACCATTAAAACGTTTATCCCGCTGCAAATGTTTGCACCTGTCCTAAGTCAGGAATCTGATTACAGTAGATGTCGTCTGTTTATGTAGTTTATACGTGTTTCTCGTTTCTCGTTTTTATATAGATTAGACCGTTGGTTTTTCCGTTTGAATGGTTTTACACTAGTAATTTTTTTGGGGCCCTTTATAGCTTGCTGTTCGGTGTGAGCCAATGCTCCTTGTTGAAGGCCGTACCTTGACCTATAATGGTTTACTTTTATAAATTGTAACTTGGATGGAGAGTTGTCTCATTGGCACTCATACCACATCTTCCTATATCTATTCAAATTCTTAACATACTTGTTAAATGTTTTTTAAGACATAACAGGAGTTTTGATTAGATTCTGGTCTTAATTTCATAAACGTCAAAGAGTGAAAATCATCAACATTGAACGTGATGTCCATTTTGTCGATAAAATAAGATATTTAAATATGAAAATGATCAACAAATCCTTTCTGTCTTATATCTCCATTTTAATAACCGGAATCCTCCCTTGGAACACTGGGTTGTATATTAGATTAATTGATTGTTGTTTGCTTTACGTCCGGTGGCAAATATTTCACTTATATTCGAGACGAGAACAAATTAACAATTAGTGCAATAGGACAATCCTTTAATAGCGGGTCGACCGAGATGAAAGGTAGAAAATTCGGAATGCCACTGAAAAATGACGGTATATTGGATAGAGACAGATATTTAGCCTTGCAACAGGCCACCTATGAACCCCTTTAAAAGAAATGAAAAAAAAAGATGATCCTTTATTCTTATGTAGCAGATTACATACATGATTTTCTCAGGAGAAAAAAGATAATCACTGGAATTGTCCTTTTAACTTCACTTTTGAATATCTATATATATATATATATTAGGTGATGTCCTTTTCCTGAATAATTCAACTTTCGTCGACAAGGTTATAACTACGTCTATTGTCAATGAACGTGTAACAACGATAACACCGGTGCAGTTAATTCTGACTTTATCTGGAAATTAAAAATGAGGATCGGTTGACATCTAAAACTTTACAACAAAGCGACGATTTCAATTTTACCATTGTGAACTTTTCAGTGAAGCGACATTCCAACAGCCTTTGCATATCGATTATGTATACGAAACGATATTCCAGGGCTTGCGTTGTCTATTGCATTTTCCTCTTAAGGGATTCTGTCTACAGGGAAGCTGCTGTATCAAGATGTTTCGAAGTGTCAAGTTGAAGTCACCCCTTTTACGGACCCATCACCTTGTTTAAAAGGGGTTCTTGTTCTAAATAAAACTTATATTATAGAAAATCTTTTGGGCAGGTATAGTTTCAAAGAGTACTCTTCATCGGCTTTCGTCAGCGCGGGGAAACATATACTATATATATATGTCATATTGTAGGATTTCTGAATTTTGAATTTTGAATTTCGAATTCTGAAATATAAATTATCCTTCTTGACTTTCGTATTCTATAGTGTTAGATTGATTTGTGTAGTCTAAAAAAAACAGGTCTTTAGATCATTTAGCAAAACTTGTTTTTTGTCTTGAATTTTGTTTTGATTTTTGTTACAATTAAAATGTGCGTAATTAAAGTAATTCATGTACATTTCAGAATTCGCTATCCCTCGACCAGCAATGTTACAATTATAGAAAATGTTGTGTCAGACGATATTGGCCATCCCGATGGTATTGCAGTTGATTCCGTTAATGATCACATCTATTGGACAGACACAGGACTTGACAGAATAATGAGATCAAATTTAGATGGTTCAAATAAAACTGTCATTGTAGATACTGGCCTTGAAGAGCCGAGAGCAATTGAATTAGATACAACTGACCGGTAACTCTCTTTCTGTAATGTATAAAGGCTACTCAAAACATGAGATATAAACAATCTATTTATTCTTTAAAAAAGCTAGAGATGTATAAATACCCTGCATCGTCCGGTCTGTGTTCTGTGTTCTGCTTTGTAACGATCTGTTGAGTGAAGCCCTTTTCAATTGATTTTTTATAATTTTTTTCTTATGTTGTGCTGTAACACCATTGTCCAAGGTTAGGGGAGGGTTGAGCGCTCACAAACATGTTTAGTCCACATTCTTTATGTGTCTGTCTCAAGTCAGGAGCCTGTAGTTCAGAGGTTGTCGTTGGTTCGTGTCTGCCATATTTGTTTTTCGTAATATTTTGTTACAAATTAGACCGTTAGTTTTCATAATTGAATTGTTTCATATTTTTTATGTCGTGGCCTTTCATAGCCGACTATACGGTATGGGTTTTCTTGTTGTTGAAGGCCGTACGGTTGCCTATAATTCAATGAACTTTGTGGATAGTTGCCTCATTTGTAATCATACAACATCTCCTTATTTTTATAAAATTTTGTTTACTATTAAACGACTATAAGCATATTTAAAAAAATATATTGATTCATTGCTATAATTTCCATTGTTATTACTACAAAAAAAAGTAATTTAAGACTGTCTTCAAGAATTTGTCTTCATGCTTGTTTGTATTGCATAGTGTATACAGGATGAAAAAAATATTGAATCAAGATTAATTAGCCATTATTAGAAGGAATTATTGTTCAAGTAAAATTATCTATTACATTTGAAAGACAAATATGCGCACCGTCAATTACTGAGGTTTTTCTACCGCAGGAAAAGATAGCCTTTATAACATAGTTATCCAGCTGATTTGGCACAACTTTTGGAACTTAGTTTTCAATACTACTGGTATAACCTTTTTACTGTTTTGATTCAAGCGCCATTAGTGGGTGCATGTTTTGTAGAAGAATCGCGATCTAGCATTAGATAACTTAATTTAAAAAGAGCTTGGTATTAAAAAAAGTAAAATAACAAAAATACCGAACTACAAGGAAAAATCAAAACGGAAAGTCTCTCATCAAATGTCAAAATCAAAAGCTCAAACTCATCAAACGAATGGAAAACAACTGTCATATCCCTGATTTGGTACATGGCATATAAACACCCTATATACAAAGCACATAAGCAAAAATGAAAGACAAGAATACAAAACATGACTATAGCATAATGACACAATGGTCTGTATGAATACCAAGCCACGCCAAAAGGATATAACCAAAAATTGACTAAACAGTAAAGGTTGAATTATACAAAGCCAATAAGAGGAACACTATAAAACGTAATTAAGATATAAACAACTTCAGTTCCTAGAATCTATACTTCAAGACCATCATGTATTATTTGTGAAGTTGATACGGAATATTTATCAATAATGTCTTGGTATCCTCTAATGAAGTTTTTTAAAAAGAGACGAAACGAATCTTTGATGATTTTTTTAACTTGCATATAAGGTAATTTGATTACAAAATCAGATATTTGACGAGTTTAGCATAACGCTATCAATATTTGTAATATGACTATATGAAACAATACTAGATATCTGTGTATGAAGTATTTACATAAGACACTCTTTATTTTCGCAGATGGATATACTTTAGTGACTGGGGCTCTGAACCTAAAATTGAAAAGTGTATGTTTGATGGAAGTAGTAGGCAGACAATCATAACAGATGATATTCAATGGCCGAATGGTATCGCATTAGGTAATAATTCTGAGTAAAATAAAAAAATGGATTTTTCGCATAACAAATTATCTGTAATTATATGCTTAAAATTATTAATAGTGGTATAAGCTGCTTGAGAGAGACTGCCCATAATATATATATACATGACCTAGAAAGAAAGTTTTTACAGTAGAGTTATAGAAGTTGAAAATGTAAATGACTTGAACATGCATGCATAGTTGCCACTGTGTCTTACCTAAACAACAATCAATCATTTTGCATTTTGAATATAACATTTCGCAGTTTAAATGCTGTGCTTTGTTAAGCATGTTAAGTTATGTATTACTTATAGAATAAATACATTGCAGTGAGAGGTTTAGCTAGCTTTAAAACCAGGTTTAATCCACTATTTTCTACATTAGGAAATGCCTGTACCAAGTCAGAAATATGTCTTTTTCCATTCGTTTGATGCGTTTGAGCTTTTGATTTTGCCATTATATAAAGGACTTTTTGTTTTGAATTTCCCTTGGGGTTCAGTATTTTTGTTATTTTACTTTTCGCATAGATACTTCAGGAAATCGAGCACTCTACAAAAGTTAATAAAACAGTTATACATGTAGCACGTTCTGTCTAAAAATATAGACCTTGTCTGTATTATTGAAAATCATAAGGTCGATGTCCACTTCAGGTGGTACTGGACATTTTTGATGTTTAATTCTCAATCGATTATTAACTACCTTGTCTACCCATGAGGGTCCCACACGGTCGGTATGTAACAATAATAAATGACTCTTCTTGAAATGACTTTGGTTGAAGACTTCAATATGCGAATGAGTTCGTCAAGAAGTACAACACTGGGATTCTCATATAGAAATGGTGACCGTCTTTACAAATATACTTCCATAATTATTTTTAAAATGATCTAGCATTCTATTGAAACAAAGCAGAACTAGTTCCATTAATAACTTTATATATATATGTATATATGTTAGCATGGTATTATTTGTTTTCCTTCAACGTCTTCGTATTTTTCACCCTTAGTGCATGCATTTGAATCATGAAGTAATATAATGTCAGCTTTCCGCTCTGTATAAGTTTTTTAATCAAAGGTATTCAAATAAACAGTGCTTTTGTAACATCTTCCTGATATTAACTTGATACTAGTCTTTCAGATATTGGAATTACAATTTTAAATTACATATAGTAAAACCTGTGTAAACCGAATCTTGCATTAAGTGAAAACCTGGCTAAACCAAACATGTTCTTAAGCCAAGTCATATCAAATTGTATTCGTTGTGAAGCTGATGAAACCGAAAATCTACAAAAACCGAACAGAAGTCCCAAAGAGGTTCGGCTTAGACATGTTTCACTGTATTAAGTGTTAGACCTTCAAGATTCTGTATTTCATACAAGACTGATCAATTAGCTATGTTGGTAAATATCTAATATATGGGTAGCGCCTTGATTCATATCTATATTAACGGAAACTTAAGGAAAATAAGTCTTTTGTAGACAAATATAGGTTTGCTAGTCAGCGGCTTATTTTACCCACCAATAGCCCTTAAAGTTGTATTTAGCCTGTCAATTGATGATATCCTGTAAAGCACAAGCTTGTGTTTCATTTTTTAGATGATATCAATTGATTGTTTTCTTGTGATTTTGATGGATCTGATAAGTGAGCCTTTTTCAACTGATTTTATTGTTCGTTCTCATGTTGTGCTGTTACACCTCTGCCCAAAGTTAGGGAAAGTTTGAGCGCTCGATAGCATTTTTAACCCCCGCCACATTGTGTAAGTGTCTGTCTTAGGCCATGATCCTGTCATTCAGAGGTTGTCATTAGTTACTGTCTATCATGTTTGTTTTTCATTAATTTGTTTTGTACATAAAGCAGGCCGTTGTTTTTGTTTGTTTTTTGTATGTTATTTGAATTGTTTTATATTTTGCCATTTTGGGGCCATTTTAAATCTGACTCTATTGGGTTTTCTAATATTTAAAGGCCGGACGGCGACCTATGATAGTTGCGTCATATATTAGTACATATGTGTCTGGTTGATATTTATCTCTTTGACAATCGTACCACATCTTATTTTTTATATCATTTCTTATAATTCTGATTTTTTTTTTTTTTTTTTTTAATTTCAACTTTTCTAACGTAGGATTCCATTTATATGTTTGGCGCAGGAATATATCACAGTGAAATTTGTATAATGTTTATACTATCAGGTAACTAAGGTACGAAAGCAATATTTTCTATCAAGATGTAAATCTAGTGAAGATAAAATTTATAACGGACAATTCATATAAAAATTATCATTTTAACTATATGTCATTTGTATAATTTCACTTGTCTTTATGTTTTTAAAGATTTCATTCAAAAACGGCTTTACTGGTGTGACGCAGGAAAGAACCAGATCAAGTCATCCAACTTCGATGGTTCTGATGTACAAGTCATATTAAAAAGTTCCCTTCGAGTGCCACATCCCTTTGATATTGACATTGATGAAGATAACATATACTTTACAGACTGGGATTATCGGGAAGTTTTTAAATTGTCAAAATCATCATCAACACCAGGATCCTTACAAGTAGAAACTAACCGACCCATGGGCTTGAAAATTTATAGAACAAATCTTGGTAAGGTTTTTCACTGGGATATATTTTTAAAAATCCAATTTAGATGTAGTTTCAAGTTTTTGTATTATTGATATGTGAATGATATAAAATATATTTTACGTTTTCATACATTATTATTCTTATTGTAAGCTACTTTCAATAAAACCGGAAAAAACAGGAATGCTAAATAATGGAGATGTAAACTGTTTATATCAATTGATATTTGTAATTAATAATATAGTAATTGAATTCACAATGAAGTTGAAATGAACTGATCTAAAAAGACTAGTCAAATTAACTAGACAAGTCACTTGTTATCTCTTTAAGAATTTCTACTCAGTCAGTATTGCTATGACGTCTTGCTTGCAGTCAATTAAGTTTTGTTTGAGAAAAAAATATTCCAATTCATGTTCTATGCTCAGTTTAACATGGTTAGGCATTTTATTTGTCAACAAATTTACACCGAGCATTAGAAAATTGGATACATATAAGCTCATTCACGAATCAAATACCAGTGCTTTTAATTTGTTAAAACTGCTTTGCATTTCATTTACTATTTATTATAGTTTCATTATCTGTATTGTGATATTTGATAAACCAATGGATTATTCGATTGTGCTAAAAAGGTTCCAATTACATAAATGGCTTAGAATGAATACATGTAAGAACTCTGTTGTTGATGCTCAATTAATATTTCCCCTTAGTTTGTCTTTCAAAAATTTTATAGCCTCAGTCATAAAGTAATTTCAGACGAAAAATATTGTTGATGTTGATATATTTCTCTCTATTTTTAATTTGAACTTTTGAATTTAAAAGTGACGTAGATACCCAACTTTCATATCCCAGGACTCATAACGTCGCTGACGTTCCATATAATTCTGTAACAGTTATACACTGTGTATATGCTAATCATTTAATGGCTTTCATGTGCCGTTTATCTATTATATATATTTTATGTTAAAGTCTGATTTATATCAATTACTATTTAAGATCAGTGTTACAATTATTCGACAATACAAAAAGAAGAGAAAAGATCAATTGGATATACACTTGATTTGTCACTGGATGTCCCCATCAGTGATGACGACTTGCAGGATAACTGGTACCGTGTGGTAAGCGACAATGGTGACAGAATTCCAACGTTCCCACCTGGTTCATTAAGATGCGGAACATATATGCCCATTTGGCTAAATGGTGAGTTATAAAAGGATTTCATGATAGCAAAATTAGAAGCATATCTATATCTTTATTTCTCAATAAACCATTTACATTGGAATGGTACAGAGAACAGCAAGGCAAGTGTATCAACTTTTGTGTACTTTGTGTAAATTGTATTAAACTGGAGATCTATATGATTTTGCCAATGTTGCAATAAGTGGCTATTTGGACTCTTTTTTTTTACAATATTTTATTTTTATTACAATTGCTGTCAACTACATAAATATTTTTGTAAATCGCTTAAACATATTTTGATCATCGACAATTTTTCCCACAGAAAGTATTCATTGAACAGATTCTGCATTGATATGTTAGCTATTAACCAATACCCAAATTTTCGTGAGTAAAAAGCGTGTTTTAGAGTCCTTCTCATCAGGTTCTACAAAGTTTTGAATGTCTAATACATTCAAAGTTTTTAATCATTAATCATTTAAACAATTTTACCAAATAAATCAGTCAATTATGTTTTGTGAATCCCATGATTAAGTTAATAGCGAGAGATTCGTTTTAGTTATAGATGTTAAAATTTCAATTTATAGGATCTCTACCATCAGCAGAAGATGACATTTTTACGAGACAAGTATGCAAGCAAACGTCTACCGACACATGCGGAGAAAAATTTGATATACAAATCAAACAATGCCCGGGGTATTATATTTTCTATTTAAGGAATACTTCTGTGAATGCTGCTTACTGCTTCGGTAATTATGAATACTTAATTTTACACTAGATACTAGCATCACTTGAAAATTAACACTAGCATCACTTGAAAATTAACAAAATAGCTATTTTGCTATCATTCACGTTCGGGTTAAACATTTAGTGCAGTTACCAAGTTAAAAAAAAAGTGTTCATCGGTTCCGAATACATGTCTAAAATTTTCTCCATCAAAAGCCTTATTGCGATTTTTTGTTGATGTCTTTGTTTCTTGCTTTACATTAAGATTTGAAAGTAAAACAGCTTATTTTGGTGTCGATTCTATAAATCAATTGAAAACTTATGGTAGGTTAAGTAGTCCAATTAATCATATAAAAGGTAACTTTAAAGGGATAATAGGAATACACAAATATTTTATAGTTCGATAGACAAAAACGAAAACCGACATCCAACTTCTAAAACAAAACAATGACAAACAATGACAAACAATAACGCCAAAAATGTTTCGATAGCCTGCCTCGGAATAGGAACAAACTTGTTACGGATGAACCAGTTATACGTTAGCACAACAATCCTTAACCCTTTCTAAACTAAGTCCTACACAATGCAGCCACTAACAGGGCGACCACTCACTTGATGAAGGAAATGACAGACGACACATAGAGAGGTGAAAATACCAAAAGGGACATTCAAAACTCATAAGTCGAAGAGAAAAATAAAAACGCCATATCAAAAAACGCAAAACGACTAAGAGAAAAATAACAGTGTACAAAACACTACATTTGCGTGAACATTAATATTAAAAACTGAGCAACACGAACCGCCCAAAAATCCTAGATGATCACAAGTGCCCCAGAAAGGTAAGAAGATCCTTCTCCATTTGTGAAAACAGGTACAAAAATGTACACGTTACTTCTATAATGTACAATTGTTTATTAAATGTGTAACTTTTGAAGAAAATAAAACCAAACTTTTGATTTATAAAAGCATGTAAGTTACACAGCATGGCATCCTCGATATAAGGTTGCTGCTTACAAGGAAGCTTTCGAGCAAATGGTTCATAATGGCAAGATAAATATCTTCTCTTTTGTTGTACTGACGTAATTATGATTTGAATGATCGTTATAGAATATCTGTTTCACAGATGACCCAGACACCTTCAGAGATTGATAGAGAGGGTAATGACTTCATAATTAATAGATTTAATTAATCTAAATATAAACAACAACTTCCTTATTAGAATTGTATAACTCTTTACCTTACTTGCATCATTTGGAGGGTTGGTGCCCGCTAGAATGTTTAACCCCGACCACATTCTGTATGTATTTATCGGAAACCAGGAGCCTGTAATTCAGTGGTTACCGTTTGTTTCTGTTAATCGTATTTGTTGATCGTTTATTGTTTTGTTCATAAGAATCAGCCGTAAGTTTTCTAGTTTGAATTGTTTTACATTTGTCATGTCGGGGCCTTTTATAGCTTGATATAATGTATGGGTTTTGCTCATTGTTGTGCTGTACGGTGACCTATAATAGTTGCTTTCTTCTACGTCATTTGATATCCGATGGAAAATCATCTCATTGTCAGTCGTACCACATCTTCTTATTTTTATATTGTGTTGCAAAATATTTTGTGTTCAGCTGTGTTCGATTCCAAAGGGTCGACAAGTGGCTTTGGCATTCCGTCTTCGTTTAAAACCAGTTGCAATCCACATTTTCTTTGCAAAAAGCCTGTATCAAGGCAGGAATATGGCAGCTGTTTTCCATTCGTTCATGTGGTTGATATAGTCGAACGTTTGATTTTGTCCGGTCTTTTGAACTCCCACTTTTAGAATTTGCCTTGGAGTTCGGTAATTTTGTTAATACTCTTTTTAGACGAATACTCAAATTATTACCACTAGGCTCAAAGTCTACAAAAATGGAACTTAATTTCATATATGCTATGCCGTTTCTGTAAACATTAAAGGAACGACAAGTGGCTTTAGCATTCCGTCTTCGTTTAAAACCAGTTGCGATCCACATTTTCTTCGCAAAAAGCCTGTATCAAGGCAGGAATATGGCAGCTGTTTTCCATTCGTTCATGTGGTTGATATAGTCGAACGTTTGATTTTGTCCGGTCTTTTGAACTCCCACTTTTAGAATTTGCCTTGGAGTTCGGTAATTTTGTTAATACTCTTTTTAGACGAATACTCAAATTATTACCACTAGGCTCAAAGTCTACAAAAATGGAACTTAATTTCATATATGCTATGCCGTTTCTGTAAACATTAAAGGAACGACAAGTGGCTTTAGCATTCCGTCTTCGTTTAAAACCAGTTGCGATCCACATTTTCTTCGCAAAAAGCCTGTATTAAGGCAGGAATATGGCAGCTGTTTTCATTCGTTCATGTGGTTGATATAGTCGAACGTTTGATTTTGTCAGGTTTTTTGAACTCCCACTTTTAGAATTTACCTTGGAGTTCGGTAATTTTGTTAATACTCTTTTTAGACGAATACTCAAATTATTATCACTGGTCTCAAAGTCTACAAAAAAAGAACTTAATTTCATATATGCTATGCCGTTTCTGTAAACATTGACCATAAACCTGCCAACAATATTTTTAAGTGTATAAAGATGAAGATTTGACTTTTAAAAAAAATACTCAAGTTACAGAAAATGTTCCCTGTCCTAGTATCAATTGTTTTACATCGTTTTTCCTTTTGTTGAATAACATCTTCATCTTACCTTTTGTTGATACAAAATGTATATGACTCTTATTGTAGTTACACTCCTTTTCTATTGTCTTCTATTGTGACTTCACAGAAATACAAAATTTCAACAAATTTTTAAAACATGACGGATGACACTAGTGAAGTAGGAACTTCCTGAATTCTTCAACAGTTTTGTTTTGGTTCGTATTTATAAAATTTTCTTAAAATGATTTGTAGACTGTTGTTTGTTGTTACTATTTTTGGCCATATTTTTTTATTGCCCCTTTGGTATATTCTTCCTTTTCCTCTTAAGATGAAAGAATGCACAGGTATATCTTTTCGCCAAACAATGTTCAGTTTGTACAGTGTTCAGGATTTCTAACGATTACATAGCCTCTGTTTTACATTATTGTACTTCACGTTAAAATGTCAGATTTTGATTGGCTAATACAAGGGAGATAGTTAACTCTCTCATGGCCCAACAGGGGATAATTGTTTGAATGTCACCCTCTTGTGCAGACCTATACAAAATTCATAATTCCAAGGACAATGAATTGAATTTACATCAATAATTCTAAAGACAATGCTCAAGATCTATGTTTTGGCCTCATAGACTGTAAAAATAAAAAAAATACAACTTGAATTACAGTTGTTTTTCAAATAACTCTTACGTTGTTATGTACATAACGTCATAGGTAATTACTATGAATTTAAAATTCAAAAGACAGAAATGAAAGAACATTCAGCATAATGAATTAAATGAAACAGAGCTGAGAGGGTGATAGAGCAGAGTGCTACCCCTCGGAAAAACATTGTCAACCTTGACTTCACCTCGGTTGACAATGCTTTTTCGGTGTGTTATTTTAAATTATATGTTATACAACTGATGCAGGCTAAATAATATTTGTATCATCCGAAATATTTATCGATTTTATCTATTTAATATTTTGTATTGTTGTGGGGATGTATAAATACCCTGCCACGTCCGGTCTGTGTTTTTGACACTTGTTCTTCTGCTTTGTATCGATCTGACGTGTTAATCCCTTTTCAAATAATTTTTATAGTTTGTTCATATGTTGTGCTGTTACACCTCTGTATCAAGTTAGGCGAGGTTTATGCGCCCACAAAGATGTTTAACCCCGCCACATTCTGTATATGCCTGTCTCAAGTCAGGAGTCTGTAATTCATTGGTTGTCGTTTGTTACTGTATATCATTTTTGTTTTTAGTTCATTGTTTTTTCACATAAATCAGGATGTTACTTTTCTGGTTCGAATTGTTTTATATTTGTCATTTCGGGGCCTTTTACAGCTGACTATGCGGTATGGGTTTTGTTCATTGTTGAAGGCCATATTGTGACCTATAGATGTTAACTTCGATGTCATTTGGTCTCTGGTGAAGAGTTGTCTCATTGGCAATTATGCCACATCTACTGATTGCCTTATAAGCATGAACAAAACTTTTAACGTTTCTCTAGGTGAAGGCTACGTGAAATGTGAAGATGGGTTATCATCTGAGAGTGGAAATTATCCAGGATGTAGTTGTAAGTTATTTCGATAGATAAAATAAGATATTTAAGAAATGATTCTTCCAGGTCATGCTCCTTTTAACAAATATATCGACAAATGTAATACATACCCATTTAGAATAAACATAGAGCAAGACATACTATATTTATTGCGATTCTAATAGGACAATTACTAGCTTTTTCGTTGGAAGCATTCGAAAGGCAGCAATCTTGATTGATAAACCAAACACGTTTTAAAAAAACCAACCGACTCTCGATTAAAAAATGTCCTTACTTTTAAAAGATTTTATTCAGTTATTTAACGAGCAAAACCCACAGAAATGTGAATTATGATCTCCGGGGTCGTACAAAATACAACTGACGTTGTAGGTGTATTTTTTTAGGTCTCTTACGTGTATTTGGTGTATTGTGGGAAGACGAAAATGGCTTTGTTTATGTATCTTAAGTACAATATATTCTCCAGACGAGTCAAACAAAAGCTCAATGTTTGTTTTTCAGGACCAAAATTTCTAACAAAAACAAAAAATGTGCAGCAACAGTTTAAAACATCAAAACAATAAACTATAAAGGAATCTGAGCGAACGACAAATATCGTTCAAGGTCAACCTTTCCTGTTACATGTATACATAACATGTATAAAGATACCAGGCTTATAACTCAGTGCTCCAGACGCAAGTTTCGTCTATATGACTCACCAGGTTCACTCGAATCAAAATGGTTGTATCTGGGTAAGGACATATCTGCCCTTGGGTTTAACAACTGTTGTGTTTCGAATGTGTAAAACAGTCGTTAAATTACTTTCAGTCTGGTTTAAAAAAATTATCAAAATGTATTTTTTTTCGTGAATTTACCTTCGGCAAGGGACAAAAGTACTCAGAAGCATGGTTAGCATAAGTATAGCAAATCATCTTAATCCTGAATAATATTTAAAAATACCCACTATGTATTATGTATTATATATATGTGTGTGTGTGTGTGTGTTTGTGTTTTCATTATTGCTTTTTAATGATCGGCTATTTACTTCTAAATTGATATATAAAAAAAACATTTATATTGAAACACATTTCTTTGGAAAATATATTTCAGCAACCTTTCCAAATAATACAATTTCTCCTGAGGTTAACGCGTTGTTAGTCGAAGGAAAGATATATGGCGTGTTTCCAAATCCTACACCAAGTCTTACACCAGTGTTTAAATGCAATTTTGAAGATACCTCAAATGGTTCCTATGTTTATGATGTGTACTGGTACATAAATGGCGAAAACATCACTCATCATAAAAATGTATTAAGAAATGATATAAATTCGACTGACCTAAGAGACACTGATTGGATAGACAGATACAAAATGAACATGGATGTATGTATATTACTCATGTACCACTATCATAATTTTAACACCATTTCACGAATTTCACTCTGACATTATACTTTCGTATGACTATTGATGAGGAAAAATAAAAGTGGAACGGTACTTTCAAGAAACTAGGTTGCTCTTTTGTGTACCCTACTTTGGTCAAAGTATCTGAACAATGTGATTGGACAAAAAGTAAAGCATCTACATGAACTGAACATGTTTTTTCAGTTAAGCTGAGGGATGAATCAGGTGTAGGAAAATACAAAATAATTTTACATACAGGTGAAAATTATTTTTTGAGCATTTGGGAAAACTTTAAATTCATTGCATGATAAATGTCCGAAAAGCACTAGTGACCTTAGGTTATACAATAGCAGACCAAAAGACGAGCATCATGCATATCACATTTGTTTTTGAATATTATCATGAAATTACTTCAGTTTACTGTGTGTGTGTGTGTGTGTGTATGTTCTGGGTCGGTGTAAGAAATTAGTGAAAATTCTAAGAAGGCTATCATTATCCCTACTACCGTTCCACCTGCACAAAAAGACACAAAAATTTAAGTTAAAGGTCAACATACGGTTAGGAATTGACAGACCAAACCGAGAAATGTGTGATGTTTGCACTTTTCTAACAGGTTATTAAGAGACAATATCTGTATACCGATGTTTAGATTAAAAGGAACAGTAATTTACAAATGTTCAAAACTCGAAAATCAATTAAGAAGAGACACATCAAGGTAACAAACAAAGTCTGGTGGAATTGAAACTAGTAAATCCAACTTAATCCACAAACCAAAAGAAAAACATGAGGAAATTGCATGAATTCATAATGGAGGTAGATGCTTAAACAGATTTAGCTTCCCCTGCTATGCAATGAAAACACAAATTAACTGGTTGATTTATTTTCCTTTAAATGACACAACCAGTACCCTTATTGGTTCAAAGAGAATACCAATTTTAAATACAGATATAGAATTTGAAGAGGGAATACCAGATGGGATATTCATGATTTTTAAGATAAATATTTAAATTTACATGTGGAACGTTTCTATTTTGAACATTCTGAATTAGAATGAAGGTGGCTACTACACAAAAGGGAGAAAAGAAAACAAAAATAGACAAAATAAAAAAAAAACGTTGAAGGCTCCATATAAGAAAATTTAATTGGATGTTTTTATTATTTTTCATGAATTGTAATGTTTTTTTTAAGGACTAGATTTGATTTGTTAATACACTAGTGTATAAATATGACATATATACTCATTATTTATATACAAGTTATGATACTGGACTATGGCGTAATTCCTTAAGACTTAGACTTTATATTGTATTAGGATTAGAAACTCTGGAGAAAAAACGAAATAAACTTTGAGAAATTGTAAATAATACTTTTCAACCCCCCCCCCCCCCCCCCCCCCCTCCCACTTGCTAGAACTAGCTCCTACTTCAAAAGTTTTATTCATTCTACTGTAAGACTTTGGAGTAGTCTTCCTCTAAGTATACAACAATCCCCAAGTTTATGTATATTTAGAGCTAGACTAGACAAATTTTATAGGACTGATGAAATATTTAAACCTTTTAAATATGGAATAAAGAAACATAATATTAGTTAGTGTTAACTTAGAAATAATGCTATCAACCTAAAATCCCATTTGTTTAATCAATTTTTTTCAGAGAGCACTAACTGTAACCACCCTGTTGAGTATAACCAGCATTTCTTTTTTATTTGCCTTAAGTACAATGATGTAAGACAGATCTTACTTGATTCCATTTACTAAATTGTTGATGATAATATTAATGTTGACATAGACAGATTATTTTCTTGTGAAATAAATATTGCTTTTTTCAAATCTGTTCAGAAATGTATCAGTGACACTCACCGTTTTGTTTGAAATCTTTTGAATTTTTTGTTTAATTTAGTCTTTTTTTTTTCCTTCTTTCCTTTTTTTCAACATTATTTTCATTTATTCCATTAAGTAAGCTTAGTGTCTCTTCCAAACCTTATATCTATATTTCTAATGACTTATAAAGGATATTTACATGTCTCAAGGTACTTGAATAAATGGTGATTAATTGCCTACATACTGAATTATCTTATATTACAATTAAATAACTCGAGTTGATATCAAGCGATATCCAATTCTCACTCGTTATGAAACCTATTAATATATTTAGTAATTAACACTGTAAATATATATTTGTTTGTGTGTGCTCATAAGTAGCATGCATTGTCCACTTTATTATATTATTTAAAATACAGTTGTTAATATTTTATTTATACCTTGTATGCATGCAGTATGGAGAGAGCTTTTATAGGCTGTGCATGTTGCTCAATCCTTTTCATATCTCAATGAATAAAATATTAAAATAAATGTTAGGATTTCAATAAATTTTAAAGTGACGAAACTAAAAATTTGAAATTTTATAACTTTTACAATGATTATTGATGTTTTGTATTTATGCCGAACAATATGGATCAGATCATGTCAAGTAGATATACATGTAATTGCACCAAATTCTACAGAAAGAGTATTTCAACCATTGCCTGAATGAAGTAGTTATTTTGCACCTCGGAAGTTCAGTCTATTTTTACTACTGAATTATAAAAATCTTTTATAAAAGAAGTGTTGCATTATTCTTTACCATTCTACATACAAATTAGTTAAGAAAATTGAGCTTGTACGGATATTTTTCTTTATGGCTGTAGACCGAGAGCTATTATTAAATTGGATCATGATGACTTACAGGTCAAGTTTGCGGGGGTTTTTTTGTTTTTTTTGTTTTTATTTTTTGTTTGTTGTTTTTTGGCAGACATTTTTTATAAGGTTGCAAGCGGAAACAATCGTATAGAAGCGACACATCTATTTCTATAATATGAATTCTAAAACATTTTTTCTTCTAGGTAAAATGTTCCGTCAGGTCAAGATATTCCTTTGATTCAATACCAGGACCTTTTTATTTCAGTGAAAATTTCAAAGCTGGATTTTTTGTAAGTGGAATATATTTGTATATGCTTTTCATTGAATATAATTAAATTGATACTTTATAATTTTGTGCATCCAAGCGCTTTTCTGGAGTAACGCTCCGAACAAAAAAGTGAAAGCCAAGGATGTGCAACTACTTAAATATTAGAGCAGATACTGTACATAACCAAAAGGGACCTTAAACGAATAGCGAAATCCATCTCTTATAAGGACAATCTTTTCTGAGGAGATGATTGCACCTTATTATGCGTAGTTTCTTTTGTATCATATCTAGATTTATAAACGGAGACTTTAAGGAAGGTACATGAATGTTATAAATCATAGTATGTTCTTTACATCTTTGGCATTTAACTGATTATAAATTATGAATTTCAATGATGAACCAGTTGTTATTGGCTGCCATTAACTGCTAGTACTCTCAGATCTGTACTTGGTGTCTTTTTTGTTGTCGGGATGTATAAATACCTACCACGTCCAGTCTGTGTTTTGTTGGATGTTTTTCTGCTTTGTATCGATCTGATAAGTTAAGTCCTTTTCAACTGATTTTTATAGTTTGTGTTTATGTTGTACTGTTACACCACTGTCCCAGATAAGGGGAGGGTTTGGCGCCAACAAACTAGCTTAACCCGCCATATTCTGTATGTATCTGTTCCAAATCAAGAACATGTAAGTCAGTGGTTGTCGTTTGTAGCTGTATATCATATTTGGTTTTCGTTTATTGTTAATCAGGCCGTTAGTTTTATCGTTTGAAATGATTTACATTTGTCATTTCGGGACCTTTTATAGCTGACTATGCGCGGTATGGGTTTTGAAGGCCGTATGGTGACCTATACATGCTATAGTTGTTAACTTCAATTTTATTTGGTTTCTGGTGGAGAATTGTCTTATTTGCAATATTACCACGTCTTCTTATATCTATATATAATGTTAGAAACTTACAACGACGGTGATGGTCAAAACAAGTCGTATCATCGATTAAATGTTGGTTTTTGTTGATTATCAATGTCAACTGAAAAAAAATATTCAAGAGCAATCTAATTTTGAATTTTCAGTATGCTCTAAGAAATTACAAAATATATAGGTACAACAAAAATAGTCGTATTCAAAATGATAATGAAGGGGTAACGAAATTTCTTTGCACGAACATTTCCATTTTATTTCTAACCAAAAACATATAAATCTATACCTTTTTACATTTAATTTTCCATCTTTTCTTACACAATTTCATTTTGATTTGGAGTGTTTCCCTAAAAGATCTTATTTGAGAATCTTTTAATTTCTACAAGACTATTTTAATATTGCAGCCTGAAGCTTATGAATTCACTGTCACTGAAGGAGAAACTATCAATATATCATTTACTGCAACAGTACCAGTCGGATGCTTCCTTTCAGATTCAAGACGAGCTCAATGTGATATGAAATTTTATATTTCCCAGCCTGACAACAATGAACCGTCCTGCTCTAACAATATTGTATCTAGAGATATCGTTTTTGATCTGAATAATTGCGGACTTGAATTACCTAGTTTAGCATGGAATGAATCTGTACGGTTAGTTGTTCGAGGATACAGTGATGGTATTTACAACCATCGAGACCGGACGACGTTTATACGATTGTCAACTCGTTCAAATTCTCCAGTACCAGAAAATAATCTGTGGAGAAGTGTTAACATTCCAGAAATAACGGTAATCGGTATACTTCCATTAATTGGGCTTAAATCAGCTCCTGTCAGAAATTCATATTTTTCTTAATTGATCTTATCAAATAGTTCATTTGGAACTTTAAATCTGAATATATCAGAAATATGTGTAATTTCAAATAAAAACTTTGTACTGTGCAGTAGAGAAATTAAGCTTACACTTTGATTTTAGTTTTTATCTATTTATATTCACTTGAACGAGAATTGTGTTCTTAAGAAAGCTGTTATATTGCTTTCTCAAAAATGATCGGTTTAATTTAAAACATTAAAAAGCGTTACCGTACTTGTATCTTCTACGACATCTTCAACTTTTTCCTACATAAGATGAGGGCATCTTGTTCTTGTATGGTAAGGATCAATCAATAATCTTAGTGATTTACAGTACTATATTAAACTGTAATATCGCGAAGAACTCAAATACTGTGAATTTTTTAAACGGTTTATTATTTCACTAAGTGCAGATCATATTTGCATAGAATCTATTTCTAATTTTAATTTTGAAATTTAAAAAAAAAAATAAGTTACAAATTCATTTTCAACACATATGATCTTTTCCAGGTGACAGTGCTTGACAAAGATTCAGTGTTAAATTCTAGATTATGCCAGTCCTATAACGATCCTCACATTACAACCTTTGATGGAATATTGTATCACTACATGAACGTTGGGGAATTCGTGATGTACAGAAACGATATCGGACCATATTGGGTAATTTCATCATTTCAAATATGCTATCTAAACTAATATCGTCTTAAAATGATATTGTTGTATTTGCATTGACATCGACCAGTATTCTGCAATTTGCTGTATGATAAGTATTGGTATTTGTGATTCGTGATGGTGTGCTTACCCAAAGTGTAAATATATTTTCTTCGATCCTTGTCAAAAAATCAAGAAAATCATTCCAACAACTTCGTAGATGACTTTGACAAACAGTACTCCCCGAGAATTAATACCTTATCAGCTCGTCAATTTTTGTATTAGGTTTTGGATTTTAAAAGCCTCAATTATCACTAGAGATACTTTACATTTCGAAATGCGAATCGGGTGCAGTAAAATTGGTACCGTTAATGTTATTCAACTGGTATCTTGACAGTGAAATATTTAGCTTTACCATTTTGATATATTTAGGTGCATGCTTTATTTACCAATTGTGGGTTTGGATGGGAAGGTTCCTCTTGCAATGGTGGTATAGCCATTAGGAGCAGAACATCATTATTTGTTTTCCGTACAGTACAAGAGATTTCTAGAACAGAAAAATTTATGTTAGACCAACCCTTTACAGAACACATAAACTGTGATGACAGTGATATGTCTGTTGATCACGCAAATAACGTTTATACTGTAAGTACTGTAGCTAACTCAATATTTTAATTAAGTTCCCGCGATGAGCGAGGCAGCCCAACGACGTTTTGCGATCCGAACGAGGTAGTCTTAAACAAATAAACTGGTATATTAACAAACAAAAGTATAGATGATAAGATTAAGATGTTTTCCAATTGTCATAATCACAAATGTCCTCTTTTCCTTGAATGAGTCCTTACGGATTAGACTGATCGCCGGGTTGGTACTTACATGAACAACACGAGACGGGTGCCACATAAGGAGCAGGATCTGTTTCTCCTTCCGGAACACCTGAGATCACCCCGTTTGAAAGTGCCTTATGTATTCTTTGACAATTTTTAACAAAACGAACTGTACTGTTTATGACGTCGTTTCTTTATGAGATATTCAATGAGTGATACAGTAACTGAAATGAAAGTGTTTGACTTTTTATCAACAGATTGAACACTTTGATATTGCTTTAAATGAAAGCAAGCATTCATTTATATGTTTTGGAGTTTAGTGTGTCGTCCATTTTCATTGAACTAGTACACATTTTTGTTTAGCCGCCAGCTGAAGCCCGCCTCTGGGTGCGGGATTTTCTCGCTGTGTTGAAGACCGATTTGTGGCCTTCGGCTGTTTTCTGCTCTTTGGTCGGGTTGTTGTTTCTTTGACACATTCCTCATTTCCATTCTCAATTTTATTTAAAAAAAAACACACCAAAAAAACCCGAAAAGACAAACAAGTCTTCAAAACACAACAAAACAACACTGCTATCAAATAATTAGCCCTTGCTTCTCTACTCGCATAAATATAATGATACATTATAACTGTAAATTTTCTGTTTGCAAATATGTAAAATTACAATGTTCTCATAAGATCAAATTGACCTTGTAATCATTTACTTTTCAATTAAGGCTCTTTCTGTTGTTGATCTTTCAAAAACTTTATATATTGCTTGCCAATCATTTGTTTTAACTTTACTCTACCGGATGCCAGTCTGGTATTTACAGATGATTCCATCCGTGTGCAGTAGATAGTGCTTCGAAACTTAAACGATAACATGGATATATTGGTATTTCAATCAGTATATAAACTTTGTAAAATAACTTAAAGAAAATTACAACTTCTGTGGGAAAAGTTGACCTTTTGGCGATTTTTTTAATTATGTACTTCTTGCAATTAGTATTTGTTCCCATATTATGTATTTGGCTCATTTTACCTAATCAATGTTAAAATCTTGTAGTATGTTGTTAGCACTATAATATGAATCATACAGGGTTTTTTTATGTAGATAACATTACCGACTGGTGCTGAAATCAGGTTTACTGTGTCAACCTGGTCACGATTTATATCGGGTATTACAATCAAGCCATCCATATACGATATTGATGTTGCAAGAGGTCTATGTGGTGTTCCAAGCGAAACAAAAGATTCCAGTGATGACTATATGCATCGATATTTAGGTCCTGTAGGCGATGACCAAGCTTTTGCAGATTCGTGGAGGTACATTTACTTTTGTTTCTGTGTATGTTTTGTGCGCTGTTTTCTTTGAAAGGAGTATGATATCGGCCCTGAAAACTAAAAGTGGAATTAGATTTCTACCAGAAGATTCTTTGATATTTGAGACTGACACAACATTAAATTGCTGCATCGGTCATGACGTCAGGACTATGTACTGTCATTCAGAAAACGTTTTTTTTTTTTTTTCTGTATTTCTTAATAGTATTTGATTTTTTTAAATTTTCCCGCATGTAACAAGTACCTGAGCTTTATAAAGTTTAGAAAACATAATGCGACCAATTTTTTCCCTAAAAATTAAAATCATGTCATCCCAAATTGTCAAAACTAAGTTTTTGATTTAAAAAAAGGATTGCTCCCTATATTTTTTTCTTCCTCATATCCACTTGAACCTTAATCATGTTAATTATGATTGCTACGTAAATCTAAATAGATTTTGTATAGTGTGTATGAAAAATAGAAATGAAACCGAAAACATGGTCATGTGGTATTGTCCTAAATGAAATAAGGGGAATAGAAACTCTAGCGGCAAATTTATCGAATATTTATTTAGATTTTAAAACTGTTCATAATGATTTAATTAAATCAATGCTATTACCTAACAGTGGATATTTTCAAATTCTGAAATAAGTTTTCCTTATATCTTTTAATCGTTAGAAGATAGGAATGATGTGTTACAGGAATAATTATAATACATGCGCTTTTCTTGTATGAAGTCTTGTAATACCATATTTTTCACATATTTACGTACTTTACCTATTGTAATGATTGGGGTTGTGTGAAATGTCGTCTTTTGTCTATTGTCTATTTAACTAGAAAGAGGAAAATCTGTTGATTTCATTTTCAATTTCTATTTTATTTCATACTTTTTTTAGACTTTTTGTTATTATTGGTATTTCTTTTTAACCTTTGAATTTGTAATACTTTAATATATCTAATAAAAATACTATGTAGGTATGGTAAGTGTTAGACGACATAATTTCATATTATCAGGTTACGTACTTTGATCTTTGTTACGATGCAACTTGTTAATTAAATTTAGTTTTTTCCTGTTTTTAATGTGTGTTCTTTTCTGTACTTCTTTTTTGTCGAACGATTGAGAATGAACAGTTGGAGGGTTGATTCTTCAAACAAAAATGTAGTTTAAACTGGGTACATATTCATGTGCCTGTCCCGAAGCAGGAGTTTCGTGAGTGGATATCATATTTTTATGGGTATTGTCATTTGAAAATGTTGATGATGATGGCAAATTTTTTATTGTTCCTGTTTAATCTATTTACAACTTGTATCGCCTTGGTGCAATTTAAAATGTGACATACTGTATACACACCTGTCTATTATTGAAGAATGTATGTTGCTTTGTAGACGCATGCTGTTTTTGTTGCTGGGTTGCTATATTATCGATGTATACCATAAATCTCCTTATATGCATATGCATTCAGCATATTTCACATAGTTATGTAATTGTAGAGTCACAATCAAATCGTATTTACATCTTATTGAAAATATAATGCATAATACACATATATTACTGTTTTTTTTTTTATTTGTAGTATAAACTTATATCACCTGTTTGGTTTTTATAGAGTCAATTCAACTGCAGAATAACTTTTCGTAGAAGAACCAGAATGTCTGTCTGAAAGTATAAACAAAGGATTGGAAAACTTAAATCCCGTCAAGCGTTATTGCTCTTGCGACCAAGAAGCTGGTCAAACGGACGACTTTGAGGAATATTTTAGCATTAAGTGTAATCTAACTTCTGATTTTTGCCCTTCAAATCAGGAAACAAGTAACGAAGTAGGTCAATTTCATACATATTGTTCAACAGGTAATCGACGGCGTCGATCAACAGAGTATATTCATAGACGTGAACGTCGTAGCACAGTCGATTCCGATGACATCATTGACTTTCAGCCATTAGTCTATAACGATGACGTTCTTAGAACTGATGTGCCGGTGAGCTATTAAATAAGTTAAGGTTAATCATTTCAACATTTACCACTAAAACTAACCGTTTTGAGAACAACTATATTGTAAAGGTTAAAGGGGCATTAGCGACGGTTCAGACAAAACATTGAAAAGTGATTTTTGTTGTTTCAAATATTCAAAGCCTAATATTGAAATTATAATTTTCTATTTGCGATCAGTTTGGTACAACTTTTTCATTAAAAACATCGTTAATGTATCACATGCATGATTTAAAAAAAGAATATCAACATTATAATTGAAACAAGGGAGCCCCAAGGAGATCATGTTAATGACCGATTCCGCCCACAAAAAAAATCATTATTTTAAAGGTAGAACGATGATTTACTGTAACTTTTTTTTATAACTTTGACATAAAATCTGTAGTTAACATAATTAGAATAATCGTTGTTGTATGATTGCACATGGTTGACTTTCATTGATTTTAATTTATATTTAAGTTCAAAACGTGTCATATGACCATCGTTAATATTTACAGACCGTCTCGATAGTTAATCAAATTTCTTTAAGTTTCAAACAAGCACCAAAAGCTGATACATTATAACGAGTCCATGCATTGTTAATTATTTCTTTTTTAATTTTTGTTATTTGGATAAACGTACTAGGATTTTATAAATCAAATATGAGAAGGAAGTCAAATTGGTGAACATGAATTTGACAGCTAATGCCCTTTTAACTAAATCAAAAACAACTCAAATAAAACTCTATTGCACTGAAAATGATTTGAACAATTTCATAGTCATACAGCTTATACCAAGTATACCTTTTGGCAATTACTAAAATTGCAAGGGAATACTATTTAGTAAAGTAACCTGATAAATAATATGCTAGGAACACATTTTCTAAACAATAAGAACAATGAGTGTCTAACATCTTTTTTGATAATTTCGAGATATTAAATTATAAATTTGTTTCACGTATAGGTATGTTATAATGTTTATTGGGATTGCACATGAAATCTTATTAACAGAAGAGAGAAGAGATCCAATCATTTCATTTCCTTTTATTTCATTAAATAGAAATGAGGAAATTCAAACTAAATCGTTTACTTGATATATATTTTAGAATAATTTTGAAAACTGTTTTCTGATTGGCTGATATGTCTCCATCCTGGATTCAGAACAAAGCTGAATTTACCTGAAACTCTGCACAGAATAGTTATCTAAATAATTTGACATAATTAAACAAGCTTAAAAAATGACGTGTGTTCTGTGCTCCATTCTGGTCTTTAGAGTGCCACCTTTATTGTTAGAGGTAACGGGAAATTGACAAATTTGCATTCAAAATAAAAGGTTTATGCAGTATTAGTCAGCATCACAACTTTTATTTGTCTGTGCAATCCTCTATTTTTTAATTAATGAAATAATGATGTCCTTGATTTCGATGATGGAATTACTGTAGTTGCCAGATTCTTTTAATATCAGAAAACTTTCCAAGTTCGAATTAAACTTTACAGTGCGTATAGAATGGAATTGGAGATGGTTTGCTTTTTTTAAATACCATTAATAATGCTTGGAAAATATGAATATCTTTTGATATCTGTACAAAAATACTTACTAGCAATAATGTAACCGAAAAGGGGTTTTTATTTAATGAAAAAAAGATTGCTTCATGATTAATCGAAATACTGTATTAGACAAAAAAATTATAAGATAAATATTGATTGGAATATGAATATAAATTACAGAAACCCTCTAAAAATTGTCTTTAATCGATCCAATCTCCATAATACGTGTTTATGTTTGTATGTATTTCATGATGTTACAAATTTTTTGTTTTCTTCTTAAAAGGTTTTAAGTTTTAGAAGTGGATGGACACAGGAGAAAGCAAATAAAACCTGTTATGAACGTCTTCACGATACAGTACCATCTAATTTTATGGGCATTTCTGATGAATTCTTTATCGAATCCTGTATTATGGACGTTATGGTAAAATTTACAATTATTTCATTCCTTTTCTTTTGTTTTTCTATTGTCAGATATATTTAATAAACCACAATCACCACAGCGAGTTACAAGTCTATAATGTATATAAGCATAAAATAAAATGCAAATTCAAATTCAAATTTTAGAGAGTGAAAAATTCGGCCTTTAAAGATTTATGGTTCCCAATGAGGTAAATCCCAAAAAGTGCTTCGGACGCATAAAATTTATAAAGTGTTGTTTTCATTTTTGTATGGCGTACGATATACATTTTTACACAATGTCAATTTTGATATGCTGTCTCAAAATATGCAAAGAATATATATATACTTTCACGATTAACTTTTTTGAGATATTAAAGTTTAATTTTCGAATGTTTGGGATACATGTAACAAAGCAACATCGCCTTTCCAAAAAAAAATGTTTTCGTTTGAATTTTGAAGTAACATTTTTGAAGCAGAAGATCCTTTTGTATTCCTACTGCTATTCAAGTATTCAAGTATTTATACATTCCTGAATTTCAAATTTTTCGAGTTTGTGTGCTCTTGATCAAGGTTAACCCCGAAAGTTATAAAGCGTTATTTTCATTTAACATTCATACTATGTGTTCACTAGTTCTTGATTATTAGCCGAGTTGCGAATATGCAAAAAAAAATGAATGCACAACGAAACTTGTCAAACATGAAAATACCCAATTGTAACACAACTTCATTATGCCAAAAATGATGTTATATTCGTTTTTTTCTTAAATCATTCGATTTTATGGGTTCGAAGAAATACCAATGTATTTAGATTTCTCTTAACTGACATACATTATAAGAGATAACACATGTTAAGAATAATATATATTTATTGGCGAAGTAAGATCACGGCTTCTGTCGGTTACCAACCCATGAACAAAGGGTCTTTGGGTAACCGTAAATTAAAATTGCAAATCAAATCTTTAAAATAGAATAGATAATTAAAACTGAAATAAAACTAAAATGTAATGAAATTATGAATTAATAGTGTGCTGAATTGAACCCTGGCAACAGATGTCCAAATCAACATGAGAAACTACGTTTGAAGTGTAAATGAAGATTAAATGGATTAATGTTCTAAATTAAATAATAATAAATCAAATTTATCGGTACTGGTGCAGCCTATAAAGTCCGCCCTCCATGACCTCTGGCAACAGACGGTCATAACATCATCTTTGATCAGTGCATTATTATTGTCAATACATTATCACTTCACCATATGGAGGTCATAGTTCGGTTATTAGTGTTTACATAAACAAAAACAGATCCAGAAGCCGTGACGGGTTTTCTTTAAAGTTGAAGTATATGTACAGACAACACACATAAATCTGTAAAATAAAAACAAAAACAGCAGTATAGAAAATAAAGGGAGAGGCTGGGTGGGTATCAAGTAATCATGTGTATACTAAATTAACTCAATAATCTGACCTTAAATCAATATAAATCCTTGAAGATAGCGTTTGCAAAATTTGTGATGAGGAGTGCAAGAACAGTTAATTTATATGTAGTGTAATAAATTTAGACATGCGCGTCTGCTTTGACCCGCTAATGAACTATTGCTGGTCTTCCTCTGATAACGCGATTTAATGGTCGAGCCCTTTAAATCGAATTAAATCAAGTCCGAAATACTTTTTACTGTTACATTGACAGGCGGCTGATAATACATCATTTAATGGAAGCATGACTAACTGCAACTAATATCCAATCAATTGTTCTATCGAACAAATGATATATATATATTATAAAGTTGATGTCATTCATTCGAAAGTTTTACTGATGCCATCTCGTGTTAGTCGACGCTACGGAATATCAGTGTCAGAGATTGCCACGGAACACGACGGGTACCACGTGTTGCATTGGAACTGCTTACCCTTCCAGAAACTTTGGCTTTCTATATAGTGAACTTGTTCGTCTTTTCGTCGTTTTTAGTTTTTTGCCATGGCATTGCCAGTTTTCTTAGTCGAGTTATGAGTTTTGAATTTCCCTTTGGTATCTCCCGCCACTGTGTTTATTGTCGTTTTTATCTTCCCAGTTGTGACATTTTGAATGAGTTTGAATTCGCAAGGCGGGTGTTCAATGATTCTATAGCTGGAGACGCTAACCCTGTCATGCGAGTCCCTCAGTTTTTGTTTGTTACCTTTATTTGTCTCTTCTTAATCGATTTTCAAGATTTGAACATCAGTAAACTACTGTCGATTTAAGTTATATACTGATCTAAAATAATGTTATTTATCATTCTTAAATTATATTTATCTAAAAGAAATAAAAAACAACACTCACGCAAAGAAGCACAATTTTACACCAAATGATAAATGTCTGATGCATTTCTTATTTAACTTAGGTTACTGCAGACACTATATTCGTTCAAGATACCGTAGAAGCAATGCAGACGTATACACTTGTTGAAGTATACAGAAATGAAACACTTTCCTTTCTGAAAACAGACGATGGTAATCAAACCGTTTTAGAATATGTAACAAGTCTTTTATGTCCTGACAACTGTACTGGAAATGGTAATTGCACATCAGGTAATTAGTTTGTTTTATAAGAAAGTAATGTTATAGGAATTTTGAAAGGGAAAAATCAAATTTTAATTTTTTAATTTTGGCTTTTAAAAATTTTGGTAAAAAAAATGGAAAAGCTGATTTTTATGTCCTGAAATTATTCATTTTTATTTCTTTGTTGATCAGCATTGAAACCCTTTTACAAGACTTAAAGAGACTGTAAGGCTTTGTATTTACCATAACGAGAACCACATGGTAAGCACATTATTTGCTTATTCTTTCAAAGTCATCAGAGATCATTCACGGTTTTAGGTAGAGTTCATGTTGCTTAATCTTAGTTTTTTATGTAGTGTTTTGTAGACTGATGTTTGTCTTTACGTTATTTTTGTCATTTTGTGCCATGATTGTATTGGTCTCTCTTTGACTTATAATTTCAATTCTCCATTTGGTATCTTCCTCTTTTTTAAACAACAAATTGTTCCGAAAAATGCATGACATATGAAACAGTATTTTTACAACTTATTGGTATACTTGTATTGAAGTCGTCACTTGTCTTTGGCTTGACGTCAACAATCACAAATGTGTTCAAATTATAAAGTAGTTGACACAAAGTGTCAAATGAAAAAAGCAAGTTTTATAAGCATTTTGAAAGCGCAAAATCGACGCATTAAACATTGAATTGGCTGTTCATTCAAATGATATTAAACAAAAATACAATGAGAAAAAAATTAATACACCATTTATTTTATAATTAGTATCTTTTATTTGTTCTGATGAAGATACTCAATAAAACAGTTTCTTATTTTTTTTCGTTTATCAGATTTATTTTTAAATGGAGTCAAAATTTCATATGGCTATGCTTTTCTATCGGCTAAAACAAATTTAGTTTTATCTCAAACTTTCATAAATTGTGAAAAGTGTTAACATTAATTTTTGAAACACATGCCATCATCGGTACATGGTTAGCCTTACATAAAACTTTTGAAATTCAGTCAATAGTATTGGTTTTTATCATACAATGTAATTATTTGAATTTGCTTTTTACATTAATTTGTACTCATCAAATGAATTGAAAAAATATTGAATAAATTTTATGCAATAAGTAAGCAATTGACGGAGATCGTATTTGAGAAGTAAGGACTTCTGCGTTCTATACTAAAATGTTGTACGTTACATACTCTCATATTGCTTAAGTTGATGACATCTTTCAATTCGAAATGGATATGTTGATAGGTCTCATTTTTGTCAGCGGTAAATTCAATATAAAATGAAATAACTTCCTTTTAAAATAACATTAAATAGGAATGTGTTCTTGCTATGATGGATTTGCTGGTCATGATTGTTCGAAAGAAATATCAGTACCGCCTGCAAATATAAGCTTACCAACAAGTGGATTATGTGGAACTAGAACTCGTGCATGTAGAAGAACAAATATCTATGGAACATTCCCTTCAAGAAACGTGTGGTGTAAACGGAAACACTTCAAAGTGAGTCATAGTGTATTTAGATAGTCATTAGAATTATATATCGAGACAATACTGTATTTAATTAGATGTTTCGTATCTTCATAACAACACAAAGCAACAGAGTGTATGCAACTACGGACAAACTATAATTCGATTTAAAGGGCTTGACCGTTTAATCGTTTTATCAGAGAAGGCAAGACTTGCAACAGTGCATGCATTAGTCAATGTAACGCGCATGTCTCAATTCGACTACACGGCATATAAACGTTAACAGCTATAACACTCCTCACAATATTCTGAATGCACGATCTGCAAGGAAGTAACTGAATATATCTAAGGTCAGATTGTTCGAGTATATTGTACGCATAATTAATGTTAAACGAAAAGTGTATTTAAATCATCAAACAATCTTAAACGTTAAAGAGAGGCGAAATATACCAAAGGGACATTTAAACTATCAGTCGAAAATTAACTGATAACGCCATGGCTTAAAAGGGAAAAGATCAACAGACAAACACCAGTACACAAAACACAACATAGAAAACTAAAGATTCAGCAACACGAACCCCACCAAAAACTGGGGGTAATATCAGGTGCTCCGAAAGGGTAAATAAATCCTGCTCCACATGTGACACCCGTCGTGTTGCTCATATTAGTACAAATCCGATGAGAAATCTAATTCTGTAGGTCATATTCGAAGAAAAGGGGACGGAATTGTTCTAAGAGAGAAGTTCTACAGCTGCTTGGGCATTTAAATTTTGCCTCAAGAGTTATATTACCGGGCAGGTCATTTGTGTCTTATCTAATCAATTTATCAACCAAAGCAAAAGAATTACATCATTATGTGCGTTTAAATAAAGAATGTCGGATAGATCTTGAATTTTGGTTTCGATTTCTAAAGAATTGGAATGGAATTAATATGTTTTATAATTCTTCATATATATCTAATTACGATATGGAATTATTCACAGATGCATCGTCAACTATAGGTTTTGGTGGATATTTTGGTGGAAAGTGGTTTTATTCTTCATGGCTGACCGAAATAAAAAACATCACAAACAGTAAACATTCAATGGCATTTCTTGAATTGTACCCAATCGTTGTGGCAGCTGTTTTATGGGGCGCCTCATGGAAAACAAAAAAAGTGTTATTTTGGTCTGATAATATGTCTACAGTCGAGATTATAAGGAAAGGCAGATCAAAATGTTTGTATATTATGAAGTTAATGAGAAAATTAACATGGTGCGCGTGTACAAACAACTTCTTTTTTAGTGCAAAACACGTGCCAGGTTTACAAAACGATATAAGTGATGCCTTATCTCGATTTCAGATACAACGATTCAGAGCCCTGGCACCAGATGCAGACCCCTTTCCGGAACCGTGTCCCAAAATCTCAGATGTAATATGGTGTTAAAACAAACTGTCGAACAACTATGGACGACATCTATATCTAAAAGGACTAAGGACGTGTATGATATTGGTTTCATGCATTTTAAGAGATATTTACTGTTAAATAATGTGACATTTACAAATAATTTGGCCCCAGTTTCGGAAGAAATCCTCATATATTTTGTTGCCCATTGTCAAACAGTTCTGAAACTTCATTATTCTACCATTAAACTTTATCTCTGTGGAATCAGGTACAACTACTTGAAGGAAAATTGTAGTGATCCCTTAGAACTATATAACGGCAAACCATTTCCTAGGCTTACATTGATCTTAAATTCTGTCAAACGATCTCAAAATCAAAACAAGAGAGTAAGGCTACCTATCACTTTTGATATTCTTGAACAAATTATAAAGAGATTACGAAAGGGAGTTTTTTCAAAGTTCATTGACCTCATGATAGAAACAGCTAGCGTGATTTCTTTCTTTGGCTTTCTCCGATGCGGAGAAATAACTGTTATCAAATCCGAACAATTTGAACCTGCAATTAATTTATGTATATCAGACATTTCATTCACAGACAATGTTGCTAACTTTCACTTGAAACAGTCAAAAACTGATCCATTCCGTAAGGGTATAGATATTCAGCTACACAAAATTAATAGTCATATTTGTCCTTATCGTGTTTTAAAAAGATATTTAGAGATCAGGAAAACGTTTATGTTGTCTTATCAAAACACTGACCCTCTTTTTGTATCAATTGGCAATTTAGCCATGGAAAGAGAATTCTTTATAACAAAAGTCAGACATGTTCTTGAGTTATGCGGTTATGATCCTAAAAACTTTTCAGGTCATTCATTTAGAATAGGTGCTGGAACCGCAGCTGGTCAGGCTAACATAGAGGATCACATGATCAAAACATTAGGTCGTTGGTCTTCAGATTGCTATGTGCGTTATATTCGCACTCAACCAACCTCTATAAAACATGCACAACAGCAGCTTGCTGAATCTATTTATCATTGATTATATTATAGTCAACTTCGATTTTATTGACAGGAGAACTGCATGGTTGCTTTATATGTATATTTTGTTTCTTTTGTTTACCTTATTATTGTGTTATTCGTTGACTTATTGAAGGTGATCCCGGGGGATTCCTCATTCTAAATACTTGGGGTCACTCAGACTCATCTGATTTCTCATCACTATTTCGTCAGAGTTTCTTGGCACCTTTTCAAATATTTCACTTATCATTCATAATTTTCATTCATTTTCCAAGCATTTTTCATTTAACATCTCCAACCTCAACTCAACACCTTAAAACATTGTAGCCCACCGTCACGCGGGGGCTGGTCCACTGCCACGCATGGGCCGTCAGATGAAGCTTCGCTTTGTCATTCTTTTGTCAGTTGTGTTGTTCAAGTTGAGTGTAGTGGCTTGTCAGCTGGTGTACTTTCCACGAAAGAATCGCTTCCTGACAAAGTCCTGGAGCAAAATTATTCGTCAGATAGTTGAGTGATTTCCCAAGGCCAAACAATTTAATATGTTTTATATATTTAGTACAGAAAATACGTTTTCATTTTATTTAGTGTAATATTCATAATAAATATATTACATTTACACCGTATTGTTAGTATCAATGGTTCCGTGACAAAGTTATTATTGAATCTACAGTCTGCTAACACTACACTAAGATATCATTCACCAGACAGGAACCTTTAACAAATTTGACCTTAAGATTTGTAACAGATGTTAAAGTTTTAAAACAGTGACGCTAATAAGCATATCGACACAGAATAATTTCGCAGATTGATGTCCTGCGAAGATTCTCATACTAACTGATTGATTGATAATGGGAATAAAATAATTATTACAGAGACTGCAATGTCAAATTCCTCACAAATCATATTGTGCTATTACACGTGTATAGCAAACTGCATAACATGAGACTTATGGTTTAATCGCCATTGAAACCAGCATCACAGTTTGAATACAACCTTTAATATTAAATTTTACATGATTTCACTTCGACTATTGAACTATATTTAGATAAACAAGATTATCATGTGGAAAACTGGCGTCATTTTCAGATATAAATTTATCGATTGATTAATTGGATTGGATGCTTACATGGTTGATTGGTTGTTGGTGTAGTTTCAGTGGCAAATATTTCATGCATATACACGACGGGAAAAACATAAAATATATTTTGAAAAAGAATTTCGACTATCAGTTTTACACAAACACACACTGGAAAAACGAATATATAAATGGTAGATTATAGAATTGTATAATCATGGTTTATAGACGAGTTGATTATTCCCAGCTGTTAAATGGTGCTGATGACTTTTCTTAACCCGTTTCTGCATAACCCGTTACTCGACATTAAATATCGGTTAAGAGGTCACAAAACATATAGGTTAGATAAAGTTGCGTGCTTGCAGTTTAATAAGAAATGTGTCACGTGAAATACAAGTTGAATCACAGTCTTAGTAATTGCTCCTCGTGGCAACAGCTTTTAAAACTTATTCTCAAAACAACCTCCATCCTACCCCACCGCATGATTCACCTTCAATATGTCAATGACAAGGGAAAGAACTCAACAAGTGAACCTTTTCAAATATTTCACTTATCATTCATAATTTTCATTCATTTTCCAAGCATTTTTCATTAAACATCTCCAACCTCAACTCAACACCTTAAAACATTGTAGCCCACCGTCACGCGGGGGCTGGTCCACTGCCACGCATGGGCCGTCAGATGAAGCTTCGCTTTGTCATTCTTTTGTCAGTTGTGTTGTTCAAGTTGAGTGTAGTGGCTTGTCAGCTGGTGTACTTTCCACGAAAGAATCGCTTCCTGACAAAGTCCTGGAGCAAAATTATTCGTCAGATAGTTGAGTGATTTCCCAAGGCCAAACAATTTAATATGTTTTATATATTTAGTACAGAAAATACGTTTTCATTTTATTTAGTGTAATATTCATAATAAATATATTACATTTACACCGTATTGTTAGTATCAATGGTTCCGTGACAAAGTTATTATTGAATCTACAGTCTGCTAACACTACACTAAGATATCATTCACCAGACAGGAACCTTTAACAAATTTGACCTTAAGATTTGTAACAGATGTTAAAGTTTTAAAACAGTGACGCTAATAAGCATATCGACACAGAATAATTTCGCAGATTGATGTCCTGCGAAGATTCTCATACTAACTGATTGATTGATAATGGGAATAAAATAATTATTACAGAGACTGCAATGTCAAATTCCTCACAAATCATATTGTGCTATTACACGTGTATAGCAAACTGCATAACATGAGACTTATGGTTTAATCGCCATTGAAACCAGCATCACAGTTTGAATACAACCTTTAATATTAAATTTTACATGATTTCACTTCGACTATTGAACTATATTTAGATAAACAAGATTATCATGTGGAAAACTGGCGTCATTTTCAGATATAAATTTATCGATTGATTAATTGGATTGGATGCTTACATGGTTGATTGGTTGTTGGTGTAGTTTCAGTGGCAAATATTTCATGCATATACACGACGGGAAAAACATAAAATATATTTTGAAACAGAATTTCGACTATCAGTTTTACACAAACACACACTGGAAAAACGAATATATAAATAGAAGAACAAATATCTATGGAACATTCCCTTCAAGAAACGTGTGGTGTAAACGGAAACACTTCAAAGTGAGTCATAGTGTATTTAGATAGTCATTAGAATTATATATCGAGACAATACTGTATTTAATTAGATGTTTCGTATCTTCATAACAACACAAAGCAACAGAGTGTATGCAACTACGGACAAACTATAATTCGATTTAAAGGGCTTGACCGTTTAATCGTTTTATCAGAGAAGGCAAGACTTGCAACAGTGCATGCATTAGTCAATGTAACGCGCATGTCTCAATTCGACTACACGGCATATAAACGTTAACAGCTATAACACTCCTCACAATATTCTGAATGCACGATCTGCAAGGAAGTAACTGAATATATCTAAGGTCAGATTGTTCGAGTATATTGTACGCATAATTAATGTTAAACGAAAAGTGTATTTAAATCATCAAACAATCTTAAACGTTAAAGAGAGGCGAAATATACCAAAGGGACATTTAAACTATCAGTCGAAAATTAACTGATAACGCCATGGCTTAAAAGGGAAAAGATCAACAGACAAACACCAGTACACAAAACACAACATAGAAAACTAAAGATTCAGCAACACGAACCCCACCAAAAACTGGGGGTAATATCAGGTGCTCCGAAAGGGTAAATAAATCCTGCTCCACATGTGACACCCGTCGTGTTGCTCATATTAGTACAAATCCGATGAGAAATCTAATTCTGTAGGTCATATTCGAAGAAAAGGGGACGGAATTGTTCTTTCGACAATTGGAACATATGCGTCGTAATCTGTGAAACGGATATTCCATAACAGTCAACCAACTCGTGATGGCGTCCGTAAAATTTAGGAAGGAATTATTTAAACTTCACCACTTGGAACTCTTGGTTTAATAGCTTCCTTGTGAGCAGCAATATCAAGGAATGCGGATTCATTAATCAACACATATTTTTGTATGAAATGTAAATTCAGAAAAAAAGATTCCAATTGATATGTACTTATATTGTATTTAAGCAATAATTTATAAAAACTATCTTTATTTTAGTAAGTTATTTTATAACTGTATTAAAGCAATAAATGAGACGATGCTTTGCCAGTATTTGTTGATATACTTTCACGAAATAAATATACATACTTATCTAGATTTTTATCAGTTAAAGTGTTATATTTTCGATATGTTCTCCAAAACTTGATGTTGTCTTTCATTTACTAATTTTGAACATAAGCTCAAAATTCAATATGTTTAGCAAAACGTCTACATGGCGAATTTACTTTAGACAATTTGATAAACGGGAGAAGATACGAAGGGTCAATTCAATACATAAGTATAAGAAAAGCAGAAGTCAACAACCACCAAACAAAAAAAGATAAACAATAGTTAACAAACCTCAACACGACAAAAACAGACTACATACATCAAAAGTCAACATAGAAACCTAAAGACTGAGCAACACGAACCCTAGCAAAAATCGGGATAATTTCAAGTGCCGTGTCCCAGAAGGTTTAGTATATCATGTACTCCTAGCGTATCCTTTGTTTTGACTACTTCTTTGTTGGTAGCGTTGTCAGTGCACAGTTAATAGCCTTCGGTATGTGCGTTGATTTAAATGGTTTATTTTGATTGTAAAAAGTCGAATTCATAATATTATGTTGAAATCCAAAACAAAAACATTGAAATACTCTCATGCAAAGTTTACCTTCAACAGTTGTAGCTGTTCGATTCTATTATTTTTGGCTTTCTGATTTTTTTATCATTCTCTTACTTCATAGAGAGTATTCCAGGAAAGAGTTTTGTGCGTAAGAAAATCATATCAGTTATTGTGTTTTTCGGTGGCCTTGGGTAGTAGGAATGGGGCCGAACAAGAAACAAAACAACTTGTTAACTGAATTTAAGGTTTAAAATTAATGAAAACAACACTTTATAAATTTCATTTGTCCGTAGCGCTTTTCTGTATTTACCGTAATCAAAAACGCTCAAAAGCGAATATTTGAAAGGCAAGTGTGTATAAGAACCAGTGATGTTTAATTACCATTGAAATGCTGTTAATTCACCTGCTTACAAAGCGAGTAATCATATGCTTTCATAGACACAAAATAGAAAAATTTGAAAGAGAACAGGGTGATACTAATCAAATATGGAAACAGTTGTTTTACCGTTAAAACATATAATAAACTATAAGTACATTTTAAAATAACTTTACTATGGCAATACAAAAAATATTTTAATTTTAGATTTTGGAAAATAAAAAAGAATATACATCAAATGAAACTATAGTTAAAGCTGAATTTAGAAATGCATTTATGGTATCGTGTGATCTCGAAGCAACTCGACGAAAAAGATCAACTCCGGATACGATTATTGCAGAAGGATACGACATAAGTTTATCTAATGATGGTTCAAATTTTGGCGATTCTATCAGCATTGTAATATATGATGAAGAATGCTACGATTGTAATTCAACATCTATTCAATGCGTGGTTTTGGTGAGTGTTTGTATTATATATGTAAAATCATTTCCCTTTTCGTCATAAAGCTCTTCTTGTATTTTTGGTCTTAAATATCCTTGGCTTTCTAATTTCTGCATGTTCTGTGTTTGAGCGGTCCTAATGAAAGTGAATTTAGAAACAAGAGGCTCTCAAGAGCCTGAATCGCTCATCTGTATTTCAGAGGAGAAGATTTTTAAATGTTAGCAAACTTGATGAACAAATTGTGTAAAATTGTCTTTAAAGGGCAATAACTCCTTAAGGGGTCAATTGACAATTTTGGTCATATTAACTTTATTGTAGATCTTACTTTGCTGAATATTATTGCTGCTTACAGTTTATATATACCTATAATAATATTCAAAATAATAACAAAAAACTGCAAAATGTTGTTAAAACTACCAATTCGGTGGCAGCAACCCAACAATGGGTTCTTCGATTCGTCTGAAAATTTCATAGATCTTCACCAATTGAACAATTTTACCCCATGTCAGATTTGCTCTAAAAGCTTTAGTTTTTGAGATATAAGCCAAAAACTGCATTTGACCCCTGTGTTCTATTTTTAGCCATGGCGGCCTTGTTTGTCGATGGATCAAAACTTTGGATAAAATTTATAAACTAGATACCCTAAGGAACATTTAGTTAAAGTTTGAAGGTATTTGGCCCAGTAGTTTCAGAGGAGAAGATTTATGAAATAGTTTACGACGACAGACGACGAGGGACGACGACGGACGCCAAGTGATGGCATAAGATCACATGGGGCCCTTCGGGTCCCGGTGAGCTAAAAAGTGTTTCGGACGCACGAAATTAATCAGAGTTATTTACATATTCAACTGGTAAAATTATGCAAGCAACAATCATACAATCTATTGGTAAAAGTCTTTTATCACATTTGATTTATTAATTATTAAAAATAAACTTTAACAACTTGTTCAAAATTATTAAATTTTTGTTTCTTGAACATTTAATTCTTGCCGTTTGTTTTTTCGAAAATTTTATTAATTCAAAACTTTCTTTGTTTTTTTATTTTCTCCTATACTCAACCTACAGTATGTGGACAAAAGTCATTCATTCGTTTTCCCTTTTTATTTTATATAACATGAATAAATCAATAAAAGTTGGAGAAAAATATATTCATCTCATTTCTTTTCGAATTTTTTAACTTTTTTCACAAATAATCTTAGTGATATTATATTTGTAGTCTTTCAGACTACTGTTAATTTTGATTTTTTAAAGAGTTTCATGATTTCATTGTCAAATTAAGCTTTGATGTCTCAATATTAAGATACGCATATAGCAACGTGTAGCGTCAAAAAACGTTGAACTTCATGTTTAGAACTCTTAGAATTTCATGCGTCTGAATTGCCTTCAACGCGCTAACCTAAACATTTGAAAGTAAGGGATGCACTAATACGTAAATACGTAACTATATGATCAAAAACGGACATTAAAGAATCGCCAGGAATTTCTTTTTTGGGAAACTAGTTTAAAATACTTTCTTTCAAATATATAGAAATGTGCATTAAGAAAATATTGAAAAAAAAAAGAAATATCTCTTTTGTCCACATTAGTGTTGTATGATTTCTCTTGCTATCAACATGAATACTTACGTTCTATGATTCTAATATTTTACACTGTATTTCGAAATAGTTTTTAAAAAAAACTCATAAAAGATACCAGGCTCATAATTTTGTACGCCAGACGCACGTTTCGTCGTCATAAGACTTACCAGTGACGCTTGAATTAAAAAAGTTAAAAAGTAAAATAAGTATGAATGGTTTACTTTTATAAATTTTGACTTGGATGGAGAGTTGTCTCATTGACACTCATACCACATCTTCTTATATCTATGAAGTTGAAAATCATTCAAAAACACACAATCAAAACACGTTGTAATTTACGACGCAATATATAATTGAAGAATAATAAATATAGAACTAAAAAAATAAATCACTTAGAAGTAATTTATACCTTTTAACTCATTTAGCTTAGGGGGGCATTAATTATATCTGTAGTATTCAATTTTCGCACCTCGAGATATTCATGTGTATGAAATATATAATTAATTTTAACATATCAATAAAAATTTTAAAAAGTAATCTGTGTGTGTTTGTGTACGTATAATTTGCATTTAAAAAGGTCGCAAGTCACTAACAGCCTATGGTTTACAAAGCTAGCGGAATCAGCTTAGCGCATCATGCATATATTTATACTTTTGCATATCAAATGCGCATTGTCTGTTTTATGTAGGTGCTAGATTTGTGTAAAAAATGGTAAAATCTTAAATAGAAAACATTTGCCCTGTTGACAGGGAACATACACCGTTTCAAATGAATGGCTACGCGCCTAATTATCAGACACGCGATACTCTCTGAATTGCTCATCAGTGCATTTTTCTATGACAAAAGACTAGAAATGAGTATTAAAAGTCATCTCTTCTTTTCTGAATGTCCCCTTCATGTGTTACATTGCATTTGTGAAAATAAAAAAAGTCCGAAATATAATATGCAGTTCCTTAGAATCTCTAAAATAGCATGAAAAGAGAGGCAAAAGATACCAAAGGGACACTCAAACTCATAAATCATAAATAAACTGACAACGCCATGGCTAAAAAAGAAAAGACAAACAGACAAACAACAGTACACAAAACACAACATAGAAAACTAAAGATTGAGCAACACGAACCCCACCAAAAACTAGGGGTAATCTCAGATGATCCGGAAGGGATAGCAGATCCTGCTCCACAAGTGGCACCCGTCGTGTTGCTCGTGTTAACACAAACCCGGTAATAAGTCTGATTCGGATATCACATACATTAACTGAAAAACGTTTGTTGAAGGTAAGTCAACTTAAATGAAGTAAGAGAAGAAATTGTTGATTCTTAATACATTAGAAACTCATCACATATTTAGGCAACTTTACTTACGTGTCAAGTTGACTACTACAAATGCATATCTTGTTCTCATCTTTTATATATCTAGGTATGTTTGTGAACATTTTTATCATGAGTATAATAATTTATGTTGCATATCTTTTATAGAATTTTTTTTATTTGCATGCATCTGGTAATAATAGCACACAAGTTTCATCTTTTTAATTTTGACCTCTTTCCGGAGCACCTGAGATCACCCCCAGTTTTTGGTGGGGTTCGTAATGCTTAGTCTTTAGTTTTTTATGTTGTGTCATCTTTACTATTATTTGTCTGTTTGTCTTTTTATTTTTGGCCATGGCGTTGTCAGTTTGTTTTCGATCTATGAGTTTGACTGTCCCTCTGGTATCTTTCGTCCCTATTTTTGAAAATAAACACACACACATAACTTTTGTACAGTAGCATACACTTATCTTAAACTTAATGTTCATACAGTCAGCAGACGAATTCAGATGATATGCTCTAATTGTGACTTTTTCTTGTAACCTAATAGCTCACATTCCTTGATATTAATCATTATACCGTGTCAATAAGGCAGGACGCGTCATTAAGTTTTTCTCCCTACAAACACAAATTTGTTTTTGTACAGTTTATAGGATCTGAGCATAACTTTTCATCGATATATAATTTGTTGAATTAGGATGGTTGTCCTCTTTTCACAACTACTAGAGCTTCAACCTCTGAAGAAGAAACCTCCTCAATAACAAGTACACACAAGTTGTCGACTCTAACAACAGGACACGGAACAACAACATTAACTGCAGAAAAAGAAACAACACCAGTTACTACCCAACAAGATTCAACATCAGTAACAACAGAGCTTAAAACAACACCAGTTACTACACACCAAGATTCTACATCGATAACAACAGAACTTAAAACAACACCAGTTACTACACAACAAGATTCTACATCGGTAACAACAGCAGTTAGTACTGAACAGGAAACAACATTCATGACAACAGCAGTTAGCACTGAACAGGAAACAACATTAATGACATCAGCAGTTAGTACTGAACAGGAAACAACATTAATGACACCAGCAGTTAGTACTGAGCAGGAAACAGTATTAATAACAGCAGCAGTTAGTACTGAACTGACAACAACAGTTAGTGCTGAACAGAAAACAACATTAAAAACAACAGAACATGAAGCAAATGTAGTAACTACCGAACAGGATACAACAACGACAGCAGAGGATTCAACAACAAGAATTACAGAACAGACAATGACAACACTAGATAAAGATACACCAGTAGTGACAACCAAACAAGACACAACTATAAGAACTACTGAACAAGAAACAACACTAGAATCAACAGAACATGAAACATCACTAGTATCAACAGAACATGAAACAACATTAAGATCAACAGAACATGAAACAACATTAGTAACTACTGATCAGGACACAACAACGACAACACAAGATTCAACCACACGAATTACAGAACAGACAACGACAACACTAGATAAAGATACACCAGTAGTGACAACCAATCAAGACACACCTATAAGAACTACTGAACAAAAAACAACACTAGAATCAACAGAACATGAAACATCACTAGTATCAACAGAACATGAAACAACATTAAGATCAACAGAACATGAAACAACATTAGTAACTACTGAACAGGACACAACAACGACAACACAAGATTCAACCACACGAATTACAGGACAGATAAGGACATCACTAGTTAAAGATACACCAGTAGTAACCACTAAACAAGGCACAAGTTTAGGAACTACCGAACAAGAAACAACACTAGTAACAAACGAACAAAAAACATCAGTAGTACCAACAGAACATGAAACAACATTAGTATCTACCGGACAGGATACAACAACAACAAAACAAGATTCAACTACAAGATTTACAGAACTAGAAACGTCAACAACACTCAATACAACAACTTCATCTTTAGTCTCGACAACAGAAGACGTTCAAACCGCATCTACATCAATAAAATCCACAGATCATCTTATATCAACAATAGATACGCCAGCAACGACAGGAGATGAAATTTTGACATCCTCATCATCTTGGCAAGACACGGACAAATCTTCAGACCAATTAGGTACATGAGTAATAAATAACCAAAATTAATTCAAAATATGAATGAAAGGTAAGAGGTAGGGTATCATTAAGTCAAAACGGACGATGCAGAAGGCAATTATTACAATCCGGAACCAAGTCATCAATAATCATAATAATATATGAATTTAGATATTTAGGTCTTTCCACTTTTCTGTGGAAAGACCTATTGGTTTTGTTTTGATTATTATTATTATTTTTTTCTTCTTCCGCCACATTTTTTCACGCGGTGTTAAGTGGTTTCGCAAGATGTCGCTCAGATTTTTTGCATATGATATCGAACAGTGATTGCCCATTTGAGACTGACCCTGTTTAACCAAACACTTTTTTTTGTAAGAATTATCTCCCCAAACATTGTTTTTCTTGTGTGCGCATATCCTTCGCAACCGTAAATGGTTACGACAAAATTATTTAACCAATTTGCTCGTTATATCTGGAAATTTTTTGTCAAAATGGTACGCGTCATTCTATTGCAGGGTCAATTACCCTGAAAAGGTAAAATCAACAAATTACTAATTAAAACTTTAAACTTTACAGCTATCATGTTGTAAATGTATCTTATCTCAATTATCAACCACAATCTACCACTACACCCCCCTTTTTTCAACTGAATTATTAAATTTTTTAGTTATCCCATTTCTATGAAAAAGAAAATCGCTTTTAGTCCCGTACATTTTACTGTAAACATTCTTATCCTTCTTATCTTCTTATGTACAATCTCCTATCTGAAATAGAAATCCATTCCTGCAAAAATCTGTATTTTCTAAAATTAATCGATAAAAGTTTTGTTAAGTGTACTATAACAACAGCATCATTTTTGTGTGCATACAATGAATGAAGACTCGTGATCGGCGATTAGACAATAGTTTACCTGTATAAAATAATCAAAAAAAATCCCGTTAGCACAATAAATACACGTGCGGTCAGCCTGATTTATAAATTAAAATCAATGACGTAGAAATCGCTCCCACAATCGTAAATCTATACTACTAAGGGAAAAGACCGATTTCATTGAGCCGCAACTCCTCTGAAACCGTACAAAGTCGTAAATATTTGTAATATGACGTATACATGTAGTGTTTTGTACTTCCTAAATTTGTCTTTGAAACAATCTTTTTTCCACAGAAAACGCCAACTTTTGAGAAAATATCCAAATTCGGAGACCGTTATTGATCCGTGTCTCATACGCTTTTGTGCATGCTCAGTCGACGTACTGCCCGCAAAATTTAACTTTATATATGAAAAATATAGGACAATGTTGTAGATTAAAAATTACACCATTCCAGGCCCTTTTGTTTTCCACATAATTAATATTACCAATAATTAACAAGTTCCGGGTCGAATCCGATACCGATTTCAATAGATACCTGATCCTTGTTACCTAATCTGTATGTTCTGCCTCTGTCAGGCGCACAGCCAACGGTGTATTCAGGATTTGCTATAAACACGGGTAATAATCACACCTGAACGTCGTCATTATACAGGGAATAATTGTGCACCTTATAATCAGCGTGACTTTACCAAATGACAATACGAATTCTAAAAATCTAGGCTAAAAATAAGGCGTAGGTTCTTTAATTCAGTCACGGACCCGCGATATCGCGGGTATGGTCTAGTATTACTGAAATCTTTCAATCAAATTTCTAAACATGCATCAAAATACAAATCTGTGCTATCGTAAATATCTGTACGAAAAATGTATGCATGATCCGACATCAATGACCTTTTAAAAAATAAAATCAATAGTTATCGTGTTACTCTTATCAATACACATGAGCTCTGTTCAACGGTCTCCCTTGAACAGATTTTATTATTACATGTAACTCCAGAAATATATATTTGAGCGTCACGTGACTTCACAAAATTTATAAAAAGAAGATGTAAGGATTTTTATTCATTAGGAGATCCAGGCCGTCCGTTTGGCTGTCCGGGATGTATAAGTACGCAGCCACGTTCGGTCAGAATATGGACGTTAAGTCCGATGCCTCGCATAGAGAGAGTGTCATGCAAACTTTCTATCTATCAATCAATCAATCAATCAAGCAATCAACCAACCAACCAATCAATAAATCAATCAATCTGTTTAATACGGGGTCCAAGATCTCATTTGTTTCTTTTTCGCTTGTTCCAAGAGATCCTATCCCATGTGTTTAATTAGGATATCAGCCAACCAACCAGCCAACCAACCAACCAACCAACCAACGAATCAATCAATCAAGCAATCAATCAATCAATGTTTCGGAGGGGAAAGACCGTTAACAATTGTTTTTAAAACAATTGATTTATATTTGTAGTTGTGTTTCTAGATACAACACTAGAAATGAGGACATGTTTACCAATATTTGTCCTGATTCGGAAACCCTTCTTTTTTTTAATTTTGGAAAAGATTTTGATTTCTGGTTACCCATAGCAAAGCATAACATTTGCATTTTTTTTTACATACGGAGAATATTTTTGAAGCAAGATCAATCTTAGTTTACATTTTAATTGTACGCATGATATCGATAATAAATGCAACCGTGTACATTAACGCTTTGTACAGTTCAGATAATACTTTTTAGTTTAACGTGGGAATGTTTACATATCGGGTTTTGTTTTCATAAAATGTTTTAACAAAATTTAACATATCTGTTACACTTGTAACGACTGTTAAATTATAAAAGCACTTCTTAATCTAAATATTTTAAGATTTGGACGTAAAAAAGTAGACCACGCTGTTCTTTTTTGACTTCACTACCCTGACGAAAACCTACCTTTAGGTGACACCGTTCTCATGTTAATGCTTTCATTCAGATAATGTTGTACTGATCCCAAATCTGCACAGTTTTCTGGCGTTGCCACGTGACGTCTATGTATAAGATGAAATCGGACACGGTAAAACCGACTTTCGGAACTTAAGTATCGTCTCGTATTGTCATTTAAAACTGTTGCATTTTGGATGGCAAACTACAACCATAATAAACCCTTCTCATAAATGGATATCAAAAGTGATGCAATTTAAGGACTTTTCTAGGCATATGGTCAAATGTGATCCCTTGCGGTGAGTTTTGCCTTTGACCCCAATTTTAAGAATTTTGTTGGACTTCGTTTGGTCTGTTGCAATCCCATATGAGGAAAACTTCTGAACTATGACTTTGAACCCTGTGACATTGCTCGAAATTTTCAACAGAAAAATGGAGATGCAATAACAAATTTTCAAGTAATGTAGGGAAAATCTTAGAGAATTTCCAAAAAATAATTGTTTCGTATTATAATTGAATAGAAAAAAATAGTTGGAATAAGAGCTGTTTGTCTTATATATTTTGCCAGTTTTGCGAAAGATCAATTAGTGATACAAATAACAATAGTTTTTATGTTAAAACTGTAAAAATTTTCATCAAATCATATGATATAAAAATAAGGAGATGTGGTATGATTGACAATGGGACAACTATCTTTAAAAGTTCAAATGAAGTGGATTTAAGCAATTATAGGCAACAGTACGGCCTGAATGTTGTTAAACAATTTTTATTACTTGAGATTTTTTTAATTTTTGACTAAGGAAAACAGGACTGACTTATATTTTAGAAGGTTTCTCACACATAATGTTGATTTTATTTTCAGTGATAATAACCAGTTCTGTTTCTGTTGGAGGTCTTTTCATTATGGTAATAGTGGTTTTTGTCGTGGTTAATGCTTATTACAAGACAAAACCAAGAAACACAAGGTATTTATGTTTGGAGAGTTATTGATATTTTATCATAAATTGAAGGATGTTGTCTTTTTATATTTTTAACTTTTCAATTATAGTTTGTAACCTCTTAAACTTTTTGACCTATTGAGTTTTTAAAATATCATTCGGCCATGAAACTGTAACATTTGTCATTATTTTAAATAGTATACATCTTGAATACATTTCCATGGATATCTATTTCCGTTTGCATGCTGTTCATTCCATAGATTTCATATCAGAAAAGTCCAGATATCCTTTCGCGCATTTTATTTCAAATATATAGTTCGATTATATCTTATTCACATGCGTATGCAACCAATATTCAGTTTTCAATGATTTTGATGCATAATGTGTTCTCTAAAAATAATCTTGTTCACTTGACAGCAGGAACAACTCTTAAGTACAAGACATCTTATTCTATCGAAAAAAAACCGACTTCTTTTTAACACATTGCACAACACTTTTAAGTCCTTTCTCAGGCGGAAAATTAATCAGTACACTTATGTCAAAGTACATGTAGTTATGTATGCCTCACGCTACTCAGAAACCATTTCTTTGTTTGTTTGATATGATTACTATCTTAATGCTGTTTTTTTCATAAGAATTTCGTAAATAGGGCTGTCATATTTTTTATTGCTTCTATATACGACTCTTCTATGGCGCTAGAATCAAAACAGTTTGAAATCAAAACCAATATGTCGCCAAGTATAAGATAATTAATGATAAATAGAAGAAAGTGTTGAAAGACCCCTAGAAGATCATGTTTAGAAATACATGTCTGAATTAGAATTACCTTTTTAAAAAAAAACGATGATTTAAAAATTGAGAAAAAATAATCTATTCAAAGGAGAAAAAGATAGGTAGATTCATACACCAGATATACTGGAAAAAGTCCGAAAGAAAAACTGTAATTTTATCAAACAGCAAGCATGTACATTTATTCTATATGTTTAATATAACTTAAGATTTGTTTTTTATCTTCCAGTTATAACAAAGATAACATGGACGGGCGTTTAGAGACTGAAGACTGGAAAATATATAATGGAAAATCTCGGAAACTATCCGAAATTTCCATAGATAAATGGACATCTAGTCTAAATGATGAAAATTATCCATCATTTACTAATTTCAAAAATGCAAGGCGAATGGATACATCATTTTCATCATTGAATACTTTTAAAATGTAAATCTTTTTTGAGAAGAGAATCGCGATTTATTGACATTTTTTAACAATGCATAATTTAGGAATTTATATGAATTCGGTAACCATGTTAACTATACATTTCTGACATCATAAAAATTACATTTGCCTAGAAACAATAGTAAACCTTTACATACATTTACTGTCAATTTTATATCGTCATGTTATATATTTGATTTTATTGTTTGCCTATTGTAATATTTATATATATTCATATTAAATCTTTATTATAGACGGATATCTTCTTTCTTTATTTAGTTAGCTGATCAGTGTATCTTATTGATTAGATGACACCTCTTGTTAATATATCGACTCATACCCAAGTGACAGGCTTAAACCAATTACTACACTTTTTGATTTAAAACATGAAAAATCGGTCAGAAATCATTAGTCTAAAGTAATAAAGACAAATCCAGAAAATCGCTTTGGATGCACGATATTTGTAATGTATCATCTTCTATTCAAAGAAAGTAGACAACATCAAACGAAAAATAAAAGAATATACTCAGATGAACGAAACCAACATGCAAACTTGTTGAACACTTGTACTCCAAAGAAAACGGTCAGAAGTTCCTTTTTCATTACTTGATATTTGAAATTCTCGTCCGCACATTCTATGACATGCAATAAAGTCAATTTTGTTTTGACTCAGTTATACCTTTTCACTCGAATGACAATTTAAACTGTAAAAACGATCATTAAATAACACATTTTTTTGTTTGAAACGGATATTGTCAAGTTGTAGACAAAAGTTAGTAATTAGCGCTTAACATTGATGACATCCTGGTCTTCCGGCATTAGTGAGGTTACCATGGGAAGCAATTTTGTTTGGTCTTTCAAGTCTTGAAAATGAAAAGCGTTGTTAGTGTTCCTTTTGTGAGGTACTTTTAGAAATAAAACAGACAATTGTACTTATTGAATCTATAAAATGCAGATGTTACTGTAGGATCAATGTTGACGCTACTTCAATTTATTTCAGTCGGAAGAAATAAAATTCTTTAATATGCTATGTGGCCTTTCAGTTTTGAAACCCCTTCAAGTAGTGAAATGGTTCAAGATTAGAGATCGTACATATTCAGTATCTTAACTTTGACTTAAGCAATTTACATTACCGTAATAAACCGACAAATTAAATCGAAAGAACAAAGGGTTTTTTCTTGCTAAAAGTAGTAAATACCCATTTGTTAGTGCGTGAAATGACGATTATTTGCATTTGCTTTCAATTTTCAATTAAAATAAAACATATTCATAATGACCAGTTGTTGCTTGTTACTGCCAGTAGTTCAACTGCACATTTTAGGGTGATAACGGAACGCTTTTACATGTTCACACCATACGGACTTCACTAACAGGATTGTGCTTCTGGCACAAAAAAAAAACCTTTTAGTTTGGAAACCCCTTCAAGCAGTGAAATTGGTCAAATTGAGGATCGTACATATTCAATATCTTCGATTTGACATATAATTTGACTTATAAAAATGATTTTTATGAAAATAAATAGTATTTGCATTCTTCTCACAAGAAATACTTAACGCTTGCCACATTACGTTTCTTAAGTGCTCTTCTCACGGTTTGAGTCTTTAAATTATATTCAGAGATTACCCATATTTGACTCTTGAATTTACAGATGACGTTTTTTTATTGTTGAATCATGTTTACTAGATAGAGAATTATATTTGCAAAAACTATATGAATACGAGAAAATGTTTACAAAATATGTTTACAGTTTACTATCAACGGACTATGTCACTTTTAAAAATCTATACTAACGTAGATCATCGGGTAGAATCATAAACGACGTCCCTAATACCGTGAAGAGGTAGAATCAAATTTTTCTGTACTCATTTTACTCACAAAATCAAATATGAAACACAACTAATGCAACCTTGTGGTTTTTGAATGCAATTGACAGTAATGTACATAAACATTGTTTTTATTAATATCGCTATCACTAAATTTACGGAAATATTCGAAGTTACTTTGCTTAATGTCAAGTATTAATTATATTCATGGTTTATCAAGGGTTAATGCTCGCTACCATATTTAACAAGACGAACCCAATCATAGCTTACTATACGGTATGGGTTTTCCTCACTGTAAAGAGCCAAAATGTGACATAAAGTTGTGATTGACAATCATACCACGTCTCCTTAATTTATATTAATCCCGCCACATTCTTTTTGTGCCTGTCCAAAGTCAAGAACCTGTTAATCAGTGGTTATTTTTAATTATCTAATACAAATCCCATCTTGAAGTTTCACTTAAACCTGAGAACGCTGAAGTCAATTCTATCACGAACTACAAGTTTATGTTTCTCCGGGTTAATGTGTTCATGTAATAAATAATTTACGATCACCAGTGATGTTTTTTTTATATATTGTAGGATACATTATATCCCAAAAGAAATAACGTTGATCCCAAAGCATTAATTTAATCCTATATGAATAAATGCAACAGTAGTATACCGCTGTATGCCATAACATTATCGTGTACAGTTTGGCGTTATTCGTGACAATGTCGACGTTAAATTACAGTAAAGCACACCATCTGCAGGAACCTCCAAAGCCATCATTGTTACCAGATTTGTCACCTATCGATCATTTACGGAATGAATTCGAATGTGCGACCGCTATTGCCCAAAATGCAACGGAAACACTTAAACAGCTGTAAATGTCTGCACTGAGGGAATGTTACAACATGCCCAAGTTTATCAATAGGCTAAATGGTTCATGCGTGGAATATTTGAAGCTGTGTTTCCGTCAAGTTATTAAGGTCATACCCGATATCAGCTGAATCCCGCAAAATCAAATTGCGTATTGCAACTTTTAACCATCCGTTCTTATGTCCATCTTCATTTTTACACATTTTGTTGTGTTTGCCATATTGTGGGGGTGACTTTTGTAATACAATGTATTTAGCTTTTTTTTTATAATTTATTTGTAATGTTGAAAATTATATTCATTTCTACGTGTATCGTTTCTATGTTGACGAAAAAATCTTTCCTGTGATAACTGGAAAAAAAATAATATTTTTTTTTCGCCTCCGTTTTGAAAGCGCCACTTCTCTTTTTATTAGATTTAAGAGCACCGTGTCGATAAAGTAAAGCCGTCAGGAAAAAAAAAACACAATTCACTCAATGCACGTACCGTCAAAGCTGCACATGTGGTATCAATACTGAAAGGTCATTTTATTCACTTCTTTTTTTAAATTGAAAATATAATTTAGATGATATCTCTAGTATACAGAAAAAAAGAATCTAAAACTAATAATTACCTTGTATAACATTTCATCAATCAGTAATACAATATCATAATATATGAGTACGCTATGAAATATGAAACTATTTAAAAGTATAGGCTTAAGTTATAGATGAAGATAGTTATGTACAACAGAAATTAAAGAATATGTTTTATTACTTTTAACATTCTTTAAAATCGTAATGCACATGTATCTTTTGCAATCAGGAAACTTTATATTTCAAGTACTTCAGCGTATTAAATCTCGCAATGTAAGCCTCTCGAGGGAGATAATTTACTCGTTCTATATACAAAGTATAAGAGACAAAAAAGATAGACAAAATACCATAGAATAAGTAACGTATATATTTTATTGCTTTGTAATTTGCCACTTTGTATTATTTAACTTGCAGTACTTATTACTTTTTCAAGTTTGATTTGTCCTTACTAAACATAATAAATGTGTACCTCCGTTGGTCATTCTGTTATTACAGATATATGTCCAGTCCTAAACTATACTGAAGCAGAGGTTCGTTGGCCTAAGTAATGATTTTGTAAGGGATGGTAGATTATAAATGTTTTGGTTATTTTCCACATCCGTTTACTCATTATACGTTGTAGTGTAATTGGGTTACATGGCAATCTTCATTTAAGGCTATTCTTTATTATTGATATAAAACGATAAATAATCCAATTTCAGCTTCTATACTTAATAAAAATCTTAACTTGCCTTGAGGTGTAATTCAATTTATTATACTTCACGTTAAAATGCCAGATTTTGATTGGCTAATACGAGGGATATAATTTACTCTATCCCATGGCTCAGCGGGAGACAATTTTTTGAATGTCACCCTCTCGTGCAGACCAATCAAAATCGATAATTTTAAGGACAATGAATTGAATTTCTAATAACTGTAACGTTGTTATGTACATGACGTCATGATTACTTTCATTATAAAATTTAAAAGACAATAATGACAGAACATTCAATATAATAAATAGAATAACACATAGCTGAGAGATTGATAGAGAAGATTGTTACTCCTCGAAAAAACATTGACAACCTTGGCTTCGCCTCGGTTGACAATGTTTCCTCGGGGTAACAATCTGCTCTATCAACCTCTCAGCTATATGTTATTTATATAATAGTATTTTATAAAAAAACGTTTCATAGATATAGGAAGATGTGGTATGAGTGCCAATGAGACAACTCTCCATCCAAGTAACAATTCATAAAAGTAAACCATTATAGGTCAAGGTACAGCCTTCAACACGGAGCATTGGCTCACATCAAACATCAAGCTATTAAGGGCCCCAAAAATTACTAGTGTAAAACCATTCAAACGGGAAAACCAACGGTCTACCAATTTTAGTGCACATAACATGTGATCACCTTCAGCAAATACTGATACTGTCGGAAGACAACTACATACACTTTTTGTGAGAAAGTCACTCAACAGTACGACCCTAACCGTCAAATGTCGCTAAAAGATATTTATTGCTTCAATATGAGATATATCTAGAAAAACTAATAAAAAAGAGCTTACTAAAAAGGTTCTTTTACTGGTGTGTTGTTGTCTGATTGACATTAGACTCACATCTCTTAATGCATATGGTACATTCCATCACAGGTCTTTTTAAACATTAATGTTGGTCGTTTAAATGATTTAAATTTATGATGCCGAAAAAGTGATCCAAACAGAAACTAAGAAAAAAATAAGGTATGACGTTCGCATTTTTCAAAAATCAGCCATTCTGTTTTAATAACTCTAATGTCTTAGTATACCAGCTTTATTTTTAAAATGTCTTTCATTCCCGCGCTTGTGCGGGTCATCTTCTAGTTTTATATCATACTACATGCAATCATTATGGTATTTCACATGTAAAAAATCAACTACAGGTTTAACTGTATCAATAAAGTATCAAAGAGTACAGAAACTAAAACAAACGAAATGTATAACATGTGTTAATTTGTATGTATAAGTATTTCAAAAAACATCAATTAAAACAAATGCAAGGAGAAATTATTGATCAACGTATTTATGACTTAAAAACTGCATATGGAATAAGCAAATTAGAGTTAATTCATTACCATTCCTCCGAATAAAATCAATAATCCCACACTGCATGTATACGGAAATGTATATCGGGTACCAAGTCGACGGATAAGACATGATTAAAGACATAATATTTCCCACTGTCACTGTAACTGTGATAAATAATAAATGATGAATTGAGTGAAAAGTCATTGCAATGATGTAAATATCTGAGCATTGTGAGTAAACGGCAATATACATCCATAAACATAGCTGGAATACGCAAACGTCATCATATGGTGGTGTTTTTTAATCTTGATAAGCCTGTTTGTCTTAATGTTCAGACACACTAAATATCTTCAAGTCAAGATGGCTCTTTAAGACGACTCATTACATATTAAAGTGAGTGCTGTTTACACTTCTCCTCAGCTGAAATATTGTTGATTGCCCCTTGTGTGTTTTTTTATTCTGATACTGTTTTGATTTGCTTCTGTGTACATTCATATATTTATGAGGAAAATGGTCATTAGGAACTTGAAAGCTTGACTTAAGTACTGTCAAATTTCATCTTCGCTAGAATTGTCTCCCCATTAATGCTATTGATTCTAAATCAAGGAAAAGATGTGCATTGCAGAGAAGACGCGCTGTTACTATAGCTCTTAGAAATCTATAGTATTATTCACACATTTCATCAATACATCCCCTAATTGAACGTTATTTTAAGACAACTGTTTCTTTTACATTATTTAAAACACATGCATAACATTACTGTTATTGTCTAATTGGTTTTCAAGGCAGTGAATTTAAAAAAAATCAATAAAACATTAAATCATGAATAATTTTCATGACCGGGCAGAGTCTAAATTTTCGAAAATTGAAAACAAATACTTCAATATTGCATTCCATTTTTTTTTGGTTAAATGGATTTAAAAAAAAAACTCAATATTTAGTCTGCCGTTAAGAGTGTTTTTCAGACATTTAAGGGTACCAATGACCGTGCATTACACTTCCCCGGGGAAAAAAATTTCGCGCAGTTTGTATAACATTTGTCGCCATTCACTTTACAGGTACTTTAATATAAACAAGCATTATTATATATCCTTACTATACTGCTACTTTCTTTGATAATCGCAATTAACTTGCATATCAAAATAAGATGATGTGGTATGATTGCCAAGAAGACAACTATCCACCAAAGTTCAAATGAAGTAGATGTCAGCAAATATTATAGGCATCCGTACGGCCTTCATGATTAACAATGAATAAAAAACCATATGTATAGTCGGCTATAAAAGACCGGACATGAAAAATATGATACAATTCAATTGAGAAAACTAACAGCCTAATTTATAACAAACTAATTTACGAAAAACGAATATGACAGACATGATCCAACGACAACCACTGAACTACATGCTCCTGACTTTGGACAGGCATATAAGAATGTGGCGGGATTAAACATGTTTGTAAGCGCTCAATAACTTTGGATCGTGGTTTTACAACACAATATAAGAACAAACTATAAAAATCAGTTGAAAAGGGCCTGACTTTATACAAAGAAGAAAAACATATAAAAAAAACACAGACCGGACGTGACTGGAGATTTATACATCCCTAACAACAAAAAAGACACAAAGTACAGATCTGAGAGTACTCGCAGATACCGACAGCTAGTTCAAAGCCAACCAAACTAATAAAAAAAATCATGTATCTAAGACTAAATTATCAATCAGTACACATTTAACATCCAATGGATTTAGTGTAAATATGTCATGAACAATCAGAGAAAAACGGTTGTCAAATTTCTAACGAAGGTGTCATGGTTAAGGTAGCTGCATACAGAAAAGATGTTGGCGAAGACAATAATTCAATACCAGTACACTTCTGCAGATCTAGTTAAAATAAAGGCTTTTCTTTTAGTTATATCTCTGTACATGTGTTTTATGATACCACATAACCATATAAGTATTTAAAACATATTCAACTTTTTTGTTAGATTTGAAGTATCATATGGCTTTAAAATGCATGTCCAATAGCGCATATTTTGGTTATTTTATTTTATTTTTTAACCATCCTTTGTCTTTGTGATAATTTTTAATGAAACACATAACTATATATGCAGTTCAAGACTAAAACGACCACTTTTTACTTATATTGTTTAATACACTTTTATAAAGTTTGTCTCATTTTCAGTTAGTGTTGGGGTGACAAGTGTGGTAAAAAATAATCTGCTATTTTTTTCTAAATTCCATGAATTCAACAAGTGAATCTGTTAAACAGTTCTCAAATATTTCAGTGATTATGTTAAATCACTAGTCAAAATCAGGGATTTTATGATTTCTTAATCACTTCAGTGATTATACAAAACGAATGGCCAACATATACAAATTCACATATAGGGGTGTTTTATTATTACTGTATTGTGTATTTATTCTCCAAGATATGTTGCAATTATGTTTTACCATTATCTTATTTCTATTCTTTTTTTGGTATTGCAATCAAAACTGTTAGAACGCTAAATCGATTTCGAAGGACATTGAACACCAAAAATTGAAAATAAAACCAGTTTGTTAAATATGGCTAAGGTCTGGGTTGGAATATGGATTAAAACTATGGTCCCAGTTTTAAACAATAAATTTACAGAAAAAAAACATTAATGATATTTTATGGTTTTGTTGTATAATTATTCTTCCTCTGTTTCTGATTTATTCACAACATATGAAAAAAAAATATTCCTCAATTAAAATCTTAAATATCGTATTTTTGTTTCTGCGCGAACTCAACCATAACATTCCAAATTATAGTAATCCAATCAGAAGTCGGGCGCATATTTAAAAGATATTTATATAATTATAAACTTGTTTAACTAGCTATTGAAAGTTGTACAACTTCCTTCTTGTGGAAATGGAATTTAAAAAAAAAATCAGTTTCTGCTTTGTCATTCAACTGCTACCGTAATACAATATTTTGTGCAAAGATACAGGTCCGCGTTCATCCATTAAGAAATATGCATTCATTGTATTGCGTAACAGAGCATTTGCATATATAATCATTATTACGTAGAATTTAATTATACAGCTCTTCCTAGTTTAACACATAAGGACATTACAATGGTGATGTATATGCTATTATGTCTACATAGTTTATCGTATCTTCTGAGAGTGGAAGCGCAAGGTAGGTTTCTTTTGTAGCGCGGTATCTTTACAGTTGGGATTAGTTCTAAACTCTGTTAAAATCTGCGAGGAACTGTCAGCAGAACTGCTCTAGAACAATTCCTAGAGCAGTTCTCCTGATACATTTGGAACAGTTTCTGACAGAAGCTGTTTTACCCTAGACCATTTTTTGACAGATCTACCCTAGAACTGTTTAAGACAGTTCATCACCGGAACTAACTCTGACAGTTATTTCATAGAACTAGCTTCAACAGTTCTACTCCAGAAAATACCCTGACAGTTATATCTCTAGAACAGATTCGGTCAGTTGTATCTATTTATATACTTATGTATTCATAATTTCTTAGATTATTTTTTTATTTTTCAATTTCAACCTTTTGAATTGTGTTGTAATTACTTCAAAAAGAATATGTCGTTGTTACTTTTTACGATTAAAAAAATTACGGAGTATTCAATTTTTTTAATTTACTATTATTTTTTCGTTTTGGTGGAAGGGAAGGTGGTTTGCTGCTTTATGAACTATTGTAAGTAGAGTATACTAAAATTTAGATAATGATATTAAACCAAAAATTGATTATTACACAAGATTGTTCATTGTCATAATTGTTTAACGTGTAAGTTCGTGGTATAAAAGCACTAACCGAGATAACGATATGGTCATTGTGTTATCCAAATATCTGTCTTGTAATAAACACACAGAAAGTGTTCATTAAAACAAAATATATCACTTTATAATTCTCTTGTTATGAATATTTATTATATGAGTCATGGGTTTAGCCATGTGATATTTGGCTACAAGACGTCTTACAAAAAGATGGTAATTCGGGTCAAGCATTTTTTTTTGGGTGAGACCATTGCTCATTAATAATTTGACCAAACGTTATGTGTTAAAAAGGTTTTGTAGATCAAATATGTCAATTTCAACATGTTTATTACGTCATAGTGATATCACAACTGAATTTTTTAATCTGATATGTCCAGATTATAACACCATATTTATTGATCAGTAAAACTAATATAATTTTAAAAAGGGAAAAAAACTATTTTTGCAATAGCAGGTGCCAAATAATAGTTTTTATCATATCTCCGCCTTTATAAAATGTTATTTTTATTTACAAGTTTCATATTGATAAGTCAACAATTAATTACGTTTGAGCTTTTGATTTTGCCATTTATTAAGGGACTTTCCGTTTTGAATTTTCCTTGGAGTTCGGTATTTTTGTTATTTTTTACTTTTTACGTCTATTCAGGCAGACACGATGTTTTACCTGCAATCTCCATGAGCGCTTGAAAAGTGATTTGTAAATGTTGCATAATAAAACATACAACAGCGTTTATCATACATTTTAGTCCTGAAATTGACTTATAATATATGAATATAATAAAAAAATCTGGAAAAAGAGAATAAGATAAAAACGAAACATTTCATTTACATAATCGTGGTTCATTGTTGGCGTCGAACTAATCAGTCCACTATGTTGCGAAATCGTTCCTTTTGAAATGATTTGCATATCACAACAAACGAAATATAAAAACGTGTGTGTGTTCACCTGTTGTATCTAATAAATAAGGGGAACCATCGCAACAACTATTAAGGAGTCTTATATGTTTGATTTAAAAATAAAACCTTTACAATACATTTATTAATTATAACAAAACCAGGACAATCTTTAAATACTCCATAGGAAATGTTCAACATCGATACTTTAAATTACTCGTAAATATAATGTACTCGACAACGACACAGCAAACCAAAAGTTCGAAAACAATGCAACAGGACATCATCCTGCCTCAAAAATCACGAACAAATATTCAACCATTATCAGGCTCAAAGTCCAATTGACTCCTTATTCAAACAGATATTACCAAAGAGCTGTATTCATCATCAGATTTCCGTAAAACAACCACAGACGTACTCTAAGTCTTGGGACAGGCAATATCATTGTTGGAAACCACTGAGACAATTTGAACTCGAAATAACGGTCAAAATCGGGTTTAAAGAGATCGGTTGATTTATTGGTGCTTAACGTCACTTTAAGCACTATTGGTTATTTCTTGGCGGCCATTTTTTATTGGTGGAGTAAGCAAAAATACATGAGAGAACCACCGACCTTCGACAGGAAAACTTGCAATCCTAGTCAATCAGGATTGGAGACGAACGCACCTGACACGTGCGGGGTTCGAATCACAACCTCAGTCTTGACAGGCTTGTGACACAATAGTTTATCTACTTAGACCACTTGGCCACCGAGGCCCTCAGTTTAAAATGAAATAAACGCTAAAACAATCCGTGCGTCCTTAGCCCTTTTCTGAATTTACCTTCATCAGGACCGTCCAAACCCTGACATTTTATAGCCAGGAATGCGTTAATTTGCTGAAACGTTAGGTTGCAAGTAATAACTAGAATGACGAATATACATTCAGCAGAATCGTGTGTTCTCTGTTATAAAATGTATATACTGTAATTTTACCGTTAAAGTACATTTCTCCTTTTTTTCGTATAATGCATGTCAAAATTCAATACATTGTGTTTGAATGGATGTTAATGAGGAATTTTAGCGAATCGGAATTAAGCTTTCATTTGAACTAGGAACGACAAACAAACTGAACGCAGTCGAAAATTTTAACATTGCTGAGTTAAACAAATCTTTGATTGTATGCCCAGTTTTTTTATTAAGTATGTGTTTTCATACTAATAAAAATATGGAATTGTCCAGCATTAATTACTGTTGATATAAACATCTGTAATACAAGTGGGAGGTTTAAGTTGCTATAAAACCAGGTTTAACCCACCATTTTCATCGGAAAATGCCTGTACCGAGTCAGGATTATGACAGTTGTTTATCACTCTGTCTGTTGGTTGATGACGTTTGCTTCTGTCAGTTTATATTGATTTCCCCCTTTTTTGAATTTACCTTAGACTTTGGTATTTTTGTTATACTGTTTTTTGCGTACCAATCTTTTGAGTTAAGCAAACTGCAATTGATTTTTATAGTTTGTTCTTATGTTGTGCTGTTACACCACTAGCCCATGTTAGGTGGAGGGTTGTGCACTCACAGACATGTTAAAACACGCCATATTCTTAATGAGCCTATTCAAAGTCATGAACCTGTAGTTCAGTGGTTGTTGTTGGTTCTTGTCTGTCATATGTGTTTTTCGTAAAATGTTTTGTTAAAAATTAGGCCGTAAGTTTTCTAGTTTTGAATTGATTCATATTTTTTTAAGTCTGGGACTTTTACAGCCAATTTTACAATATGGATTTTCTCATTGTTATAGGCCGTTTGGTAACATATAATTGCTTACATTTACTTCATTTGAACTCTGGTGGATAGTTGTTCCATTGGTTATCATACCTCTTTATTATATTAGGAGCTATATAACCAAAAAGGACGTAAACAAAGTTCATTGGAAATAATTTTTTCCTGAATAAGTTGGAACCTTAGTGTCTTAAAAAGTTTTTAATTCATGAACAAGGATTTTAAATAGGTATATGTTTTAAATCATGTCAGTACCGAGTCACTGACTACTGTGCTGATGATTCCATCGGAGACTAATTGTCACTCAGCAGCGGTATCCACCCAGTGCTAGATAAAGAAATGAGCACTTTATAACTGTGTGCCTCCGATTTGATTTCCTGGATTTACTTTCATCAGGAACGCTGAAATCAAAACACTTTTGAAGGCACCGACTTCTTGGTTGATGGTTTGATATTGGTGAATGGAATAATAATCAAATCATTAGTAGTAAATTATAAAATTATAAAAAGAAATTGTAAACACTTTATGTAAAGACACTGGTAGATACAAGAAAACGTGTCCAGATTTAGACTCACAATATAATGCTAGTCACGAATTCTGAGCAAATAAATTTGCAACAGATTGGTGCTTGGCTTCAATTGCCAACAAACTATATTCGAATGTTTCCTATTTCATTTTAGAAAATACAAAAATACTCTATTCCAACAGAGATAAAATTCTTCTATTGTACACAGACACGTTGAGTGAGAAAGTAATAGTAGATCCATCATCGGAAGTCGTTGCTGTTGATTATCATCCAGGACAGAACTTAATTTTCTGGACGGAAATAGGACCTGCGACAATATCCAGGTATATTTTTATAAAAAATGTGATAAAAGATTCGTCTTTCTAATTTTTCAAAGAAGTTTAAATAAATCATCTGGTTTTTTTTTAAGCATTTATATAACATCATAATTTTAACTCGATCTTCTCTGTAGTCAAATATCTAATAATTAATTCAAATTTCCATCATTTCGACCTAACATTTATCTATACTAATGAAATAGCTCATGTTTTAATAGTTTGTTGGTGTAAAAGAATTGTCCAATAATTTGACTGTAGATTTTAATGTTTTTACCAAAAACACTCAGGTCATTAATTTATTAACCTATACGTCACAAAACTAGTATTTTTTTAATCGATCTAATTGAAGCACAGATACTGTGTCCACGCTTCTATTGTTCTTGTAAGTATTTTATCAAACAATTAGATGTCTGAAATCCTAGTCAAGCAAGATTGGAGTCTAGTGCACCTGCAGCGTGCGTGATTCGAACTCACAACATCAGAGTTGACAAGCTAGTGATACAATGGTTCGACTATTTAGACCATTCGGCCACCAAGGACCCTACAATGAATACGATGTTTTTGTATTGTTTTAAATTTTGTATTCATTCCTATCAAAATTCAATTGTTTCATTTACTTTGTCAATTATTATTTTGTTGCCTTTCTTTTGGTGTATTTACTTGAAAAGGGAGTTTAGATAACATACTGATTAGATATTTAAGTGATAGAACTTGTTTATGGAGTTGTTATGCCAAATGTAATATGTCAGCAGACTTCTTGACCTTTCAGAATAGATAAAAAAAATATAAATTAAAAAAACCGAACTCAAAGGTAAATTCAAAAAGAGGGGAAGTCCATAAAACCTTACAAAATCAAATGTTAGACTATTTCGACCACCGGAACGAACGCAGAACAACTATTTTATTATTTACATTTTCTGAAGAAGTGGTGGGTTAAATCTTTTTGAATAGCTAGTTCAACCTCCCACTTGTTTATAGTTTCATTATATTGACAAAATTGGGTAAGGAACCCAAACAGATATCATTAGTCTATGTGAAAATAATTGGCATCCAGCAGCCAAAACTACGTAAACATACATCAAAGACATACAACGCAACTGTCTAAAAAAACTCAAACAAACATACAAATAAATTTGGCAAAGACGCCAACAAAAACATTATTGAAGTTGAAAATTAATCTGACAAAGACGCCAAAAAAAACACAAGTTCACATTCGGTAAAGTGAATTAATCGTAGCATTGGATAGTTATGATTTTGAAGCTTTATCAAACTTAAATTTTTGTTTAAATAAACGCCTATTATCACTTGAGCAACATTAAACAAAACAGAATACTAGAATGATATGTTTAAAGTTTTTAGTTACGCAGGTATCAAATAGGGTTAGTGTATTTATAACGGGACAACTATGAATGCGGTGGTACATTTTCACAAGCAGACAAAGTACGGAAATTTTAAATATGCTAGTTCACTAGGTAAAAGTCCGCAGATTCCAAAGGACGAGGATATAAACAGGTATATGGCGCTATATGACCTTTAACAACGAGCAAAACACACACCGTTTAGTAGAGATTTCTAAACAAATGACATTACTCGTCATAACCAACCTATCTTAACGTATATCTGTCTAATGCATAGAAGTATGACGGAGGGAGACATAGACTGCATGAAATATTTGCCCGTTGAATGCACTTTTCTTGGAATATATTTTATCTTAAAATTAACCCGATCTGATATTTTAAATATTTAAATATTTTAGTTAAAAGTTGAATGATTTATTGACAACAGCCTTTGAAAAGAATAAGTAGGCCATTTCACTCGACCTATATATTTAGTTCTTTTCAAAGGGTGATTTTTTTATAACTATTAAATTAAAATTTAGTCTGAAAAAATAGAAATAATAGAATCTGTAGCGAAATTATTTTCTCATTTTATTTGTTTTATAAGTTATAAATTTAAAAAAAATAATTGATGAGAATGCATCGTCAAAGTGAAAAACTATAATCATCCAAATCAATTTTAACATATGTAATAGACAAAATCTGTTTGTTCATAATTTTCTATAATTGGATAATTCACAGCTCATGTGTGCATTAACTATACCTCAGATATACTGGACAGTTCAAATGCACGCTTACCTTACAATTTTGCATAGTTGAACAGTTAACACATTTGTACACGCTTCGTCGTTTCGAAATATGAATATAAATAAAGTTGAAAATATGATAGGGACTAAGGAAAGAATCCGTCCTAAAACTTGGAATTTTTTAGGAAGTTTTTCCTTAAATTTGCAGGTCAGTGTCCCTAAGTCCAATTTCTGAGAATAAGATGTAAGTTTATGAAAATCAAAATAATTGAAATTTGATTTTGGTTAGTTGTGTGCTCAATTGAACTTAAAACGATATCTTTTTATTTCTGACCCTTTACATTAACTATTCTTGGACCGAATTTATTGAGGATTATATTTCAAGTATATGCACAAACAGGAAAAAAAAGGATGTAGATCAAAAGACCTAGTTAAGTTTTGGCATGTCGCCGAATACAGTTCAAAAATGGAAAAGAGAAAGTGGGAGGTGAAAAGTAATAAGTTTTTCCGTTTTACTTTGTTCATTTGGTTTTCGCCTGAACATATTATTACAGAAGGAAATACACTCGATAGCCTTTCCAATTGCAATTTGTCATGAACCGATTTTAAAGTACATCAAATGGATCTGACACGAATGAATAAAAGGAGATGTTAGATATACGACAATGAGACAGCAACCCAACGGCAATTTCAAATGACGAAAGAACACATAAAGGCCAACATACAGTTTACACTAAATGTCAATTTTCAATCGTAGTACAATGTCTGCATCGATGTTTCAAAACAAATATGAGTTTTGTGTAATGATTTAGCTGAACACGTTCTTTCTTCAAGAATCCTTTATGCACACCTTTATGCAACGTCCATTTGTAAAGTATATAAAACAAGTCATAAAAAGACCATGAAATATAACTCAAATCAATCGTATGATAGGTAAGGAACCCGTATATATACGTGATGTTATGACAATGAAGTTAAGGCGGGAATCTTGAAAATCACGTATATGATTAAAATTTCATGATTTTTTTTCATTTTTCATCCCCCATAAATAATATGATATTGACGAAAATTTAAGTGTATGGTTTTTATACTCTTCAAATACTTTGTTAATCCTTGAACGGCGTATTCAACAAAATACTTTGGTTGACAAAAACCGGTCCATTTAGGTCACAACGTCGTGTTACGTATGTATATTATTTATTGGAAATATCTTGTAAGCTATAATAGGCCTCGGCATTCAAGATAAAAATTACTACAATCCGTTAGCGGAAAACCAACGTCTCTAAGTTAAGTTTTGTAAGGGGTTTGAATAACGTATTGTTTTTAGTTTTCGGTAGTGTGTCTGTCCAGGGTTTTTTTTTTTCATTGTGTGTCTTGTTTGTCGAGAGCAGTCTAAGTAAGCTATCGAAAATAGAAATACGAAGTATGGGATAATTGCAATTGATACAACTTCCCATTAAAGACCACAGTACAAGGACTTACGGAATATGTCTAGAAATACTGTTTACATTTAAATCTTTCGTATGCGGTTATGTTCTACTTTTTGAAAATTTAAATACACCGATGGTTTTAACTTTTGTACAGTCTTAGTGTCGGAATAAGACACTTACCAATTAACTAATGTGTTACGCCTTATCAAATATTTTCCATCAACGGATTATAAGAGAAGATTGAGTTTGACTATTTTCAATTCGTTTTTTTTTTTGTCATAGTTGTTGCCTGTTTGTTACTTTGAGCATTAAGTTGTCTGCTTTTTCATTGATTGAACGAATTTTTATGAACGTAATTCTAAGAAGTGATTAAAACCTTTAACGATGATAAGTCGTCAGTAGTGAGAATGTTGTGTAAGATTTATCATATACAATTTATTTGCATAATTCAAATTTTACAGTTATTTCTGGATTGGTTTGCTAAATGGTTATTTTTATATAACAAAGTTTTAACCTGTGTGAAAAGTGCAATAATTAGTTTATACCATCATTCTGAGAAAATGGCGTATTATCAATGTTTATATTTACAAGACCGTTATTTTTTTTTTATTGTATTTCAGATTACAATATTCATTGATTGACAATAGTGCCACTGCAGTAACAGTTATTATTTCGGAAAGCATTGAAAATCCTGAAGGCATCGCTATCGATCCGTTTCATGACCATGTGTATTGGGTAGACAGTGGTACTGATCAGATAGTGAGAGCAAACCTTGACGGCTCAAACAGAACAATTATAGTAAACTCAAACCTTGACAAACCTAGAGCAATAGAACTGGATCCTTCAAATGAGTATATTTTCTCACTTTGTTGAAAATTTTAACCAATGTTGAAAAACAGTTCGAAGGTCAAATACGAAGTTGAGGAGCAACTGAAAAGTCCGAAAAATATGCAAAATACGGATAAGGCAACCTATGCATGGGGATAGAAAAATACTGGTGGAAGTTTCGTCCTTGAGGGTATCATTTGCATAGTTGTCAGCATAATCTGTTTTCTGTAAAGTTATTGCTCATAAAATGTTGAATTATTCGAACATTTATGAATTTTCTACCCCCATGTATTTTGTTGCCTTGTCCGTATTTGGAACAACTTTTCTGATTTCTCGATTTTTATTGCTCTTAAGCTTTGTATTTGATTTGGCCATAAATCTGTTTTGTTTCAAGCGCCACTTATGAGTCTTATACTCCCGTATTAATTTGTTGAATGCACAGTAAAAACAACTTAGATAATAGCAAATCTTAGTCAAAATACATTAAATTCGATTCGACAACCAGTTTAGCCTGAGTACTCCTCTCCACACAAGAAGGTATTGTTGACTTTGAAAGCTGTCTCGATAGCTGTCTCATTGAAATCATACCACATCTCCTTATTTTTATAATGATAGAACAAAAGTGTCTTATTTTCATAATCATTTTACAGTTGATCGGACATTTCCTTCAAATAACTGACGCATTACAAAATAATATCAAATAAAAGAAGAATACAAATAATGATGAATAAACATTATATGTTGCCTATATATGAGATTCTGAGTAAGTTATATATCAGGAATGCAATGTATGACATAACAACATATGAAATTTAAAACGACTTATACACAGCTTTGTTGGTCTAACTCATTTTTTCGAAACATCATATTTAATTTCATTAATTATTGAACCCGCGATACGTAACTTACATCAAAGAGTCATTATTGTTAATTAAACACAGTAAGAAATAAAGAAAGGAAGCAAACCAAAACAACAATCCCAGAAATATAACCTTACTGCTTCTTTTGTCGCCAATGACGAAAACAAGACAGCTGCAAAAAACACAATTTTATTCAATGAAAAAGTAAATCTATATATAATATTAATTACGAATGATATCATATATAGAGTAAAGGTAATTGATCAAAATGTTAAAATTTAATAAATCGGAAATTATTAAAAGTTCAACGTTTCAGTGCTTTTATCATGTTAATTGAACTATAGACATGCCTTGCTGTATCGAAATAGTATGCTATTGTTCGAAGAGACTATGAATATACTTGCATAAGAATACGAAAGCTTTAAGTAAAATAATAATTCAATATAATACACTAACGTGGATTTCTTATGATTAATTGATTTTGCTCAAAAAATGATTTCAAATAAATAGGGCTGACTTATTTTCTTTTACAATATTTTATGAAAATTTGAATAGTACTAAGAAAAATTAACAATAAATGTCTTGAAGGTTTGAGGGAGGTTGCTAAACAATTGTTTCCTCTCAAACAGAATGCAGAACAGTAATTTAGATATTTTACCATGTTAAAAATTGGCTCGCATATATGGAAATTAGAAAGTTTGTTTTTAATATTTATGAAAACTGTTCAAAGGGGAAATGATTTGTTAGTACTTTAAGGTAATTTTCAATCTATAATTTTTTTTAATTAAGTTATCTATCTCCAGTTATATCTTACACAATGAATCAACGAGTTTTTTTTTAAAACGGCGTTTAAACCAAATCAGAGACAAACGTAGTTTACAGTAGTATGTTCTTATTTTGTAAAATCCTTAAGAATACTCAGAACAAGGTAAACAAGACCCGAAGGAACCACAAGAGCTCGAAATGAAGCAGGCCGAATGCATCGACGGGGTTGGCATCCTTTCTTTACGGATATGAATACATCATCTGCCATGGGAATCCGTACTCAGACAAAATATGAAGAAAGAGAATATAATTCAATATGAAAATTTAGAATTCCGACGACTTACTGGTATCCATAGAATAAAAATCGCAAAAACATGTCGCTTAAATTAATTAGGAAAAGCATCTTTTTATTAAATTCATTTGCCAATTTCGAAAATACTGAAGAAAATTGTCAAGATTAACGCAGTGTAGCAGAGATTGCAATGCATTTGTTAGTATGAAAAAAAAACCGGCCGACAATTTTTTTTGAAAAAGCAACATCCTTTTCATTTAAAAGTATAAAATGTAGTGATTCCGATACGTACATTGTGATTGAGACCTATCATTGCTAAATCACAATTAAAAAGATACAGTAAAGTGTAATGCAGAAGAACATTGTGTACACTAATCATTTATTTTATTTTTTTGTTACAGGATGATTTATTTTAGTGACTGGGGGTCAAATCCTAAAATAGAAAGATGTAAATTTGATGGAAGTAATAGGCAAGCAATTATTACAACTGATGTTTATTGGCCAAATGGAATAGCTTTGGGTATGTAATGTCTGAGAAAAATAGGCATTATGTTTTCGATGAAAAATTGTCAAAATATGTTCATATGTGTAAAGGAATTTTAAAGAATTTAAAATGTACCGTACATGTTTTTGAATATCCAGCATTAAGTATTTGTTCATTTGAAAATATTAGGAACTTTTAAGAACCTAATTAGAAAAGAATCATCATACAAAAAAAGAAAAGCTAGTAGTTTTTAGGTTTAAGTCTAAAACGTTAATGTGTATGTAATGTCTGAATGACGGTTAAATTGTTTTAAGATATTTTTCTTTCGACATACTGGACAGTGCTCCGACATTTCGATTGAAGCCAAGCAATTATCTGCAATATGTTTTAGCCAGTTATTTACAAGCCAAAAACAAAGTTGTTAAAATAGAGATAGTGATTACAAAAATGGGGATATGTGGTATTAATGCCAATAAGAAAACTATCAAACCGATTTAAAATGTGGTAGTAAGCAATTATATGCCACCGTATGAGAAAAAACACATACCGTATGGCCGATTTAAAAAAATCCCCGACATGAAAAGCGTAAAAACAATTCAAACGAGAAAATTTATGGCGTAGTTTATGACAAAGAAATCGACGAAAAACAAAAAAGACATATGACAAAAATGAACCAATGACAACCACTGTTCTACAGGCTCCTGATTTGGAACAGACACATTAAGAATGTAGCGGGATTAAACATATTTGTGAGCGCTTAACCCTTTCCTTAACCTGTGACAATGGTGTAACTGCAAAACATAAGAACAAACTGTACAACTGGCGACTGGCTAAATTCAAAAGATCGGTACGAGGCACAATAACAATAAACATAAAAACGATAGACACAAAACACCGAAATTAGAATACTTGCTGTTACTGATAGCCAATTACAACTGATAAATAAATCATGTTCTCCCAGAGTTCAGTATCAATCAGTACACATCCACCGGATTAAGTGTTAGACCGAGTAACGCAAAACCTTGTGTAATGCTACAATATAGGTTAATAGTTTCGATATGTAAAATAATGTCGTACATTTAAAACAATATATCTTCAATTATGTTTTTTTTTTTAACCAAAATCAATGTTAGTACCGATAAAAACATTTTTTACTACTGTGCTAAATTAATAACCTTGGTAATAAGTTCAATCAAAGGATTAATTAGTTTACAAAAATTGTGACTTAAATTACGGGCTTTATTAAAAACATCACCTTAACAATTATGATGTAAGAATCCTTAATGTACAGCATAACATATTCAAACCATATCTTCATATAAATGAAAGAATTTGGTAAAGGTTTTAATTAATGTATGGTAACGAAATTCCTGATTTAATAATTTACCAGTTATCCATTAATTACGTTCATAATGACTGTCAAGGAAACGACAATCCACCTTAGAACAAAGATCAATGATGTTTCAAAAACTTTATTCCGAGAGCTTCTCTCGGACTATTGAAGATAATAACACGCTGTTTTGTCATATCATATTAAGCATTTCAAAAGTTGCACCAAAGGGTTTTAAATTTGAATGTTTACACCAAACTTTTAAACTTATAAAGAATATCTTATCCATTGTTTTTTCATTTTAAAGACATCCTATAAACTTAATAAGTTATCTTATAAACTTAATAAGACATCTGCAATCATACACGATATCTTGTATAGCTTATATATTTTTCAAAGATACCTTAAACACTATACATGATATTGCATAAAGTATTTGTTTAAAATATATAGGATACAAGATATCTAAGCTATCTGAAAATTGAATAAATATAAAAACGGTTTGTCAAAACCTAAAGAAGATTTTAAAATTTGAAATGGTATTGAAAGTTAATACAATCATTTGAATTTTTTTTTAGTATTGTACATTGTTATATTAGACGGAAAATTTTTTTTCAATGTTTTTAATTCTATCCTCATTAAATTCTCACTAGAACTATTTTAATGTTTGTTAAACTAAACGTTCGGTTATTTTCTATTAATAAATTATTGATTGTTTTGCCATAGTCGTTTGGTTATTATGAACATTAAAAATGTTACCAACTTAACAGTGTGATAGATTAGAATGTTAACAGAGTCTTAACCAATCAAATATTAAAATTGGAATTTTAAAATGATGTATAATAACAAAATATTTAGTTAAGACTTGATTGATTGTTACCATGCTTGTTGACAATAAATAACTGAATACATATATTCCTAAACGCTTATGGTTCTTACTCTGATTGTAACCCTTTTAAAATTAAACTCATTCCTGCCATTAAAAATACGGCTGTAGCATGCATAGCCGAATGTTCTACTTTTCCAGAGCATTTTGTACCATCCTTAATTTTGATATGACTTTATATTGCTAAAAAAATAAGTTTTATGCTAAAATAACCGAAAACGTCATTGGTAAAACAGAAAAAGACAAACAGACAAACAACAGTACACAAAACACAACATGGAAAACCAAAGACTGAGCAACACGAAACCCAATAATAACTGGGGGTCATCTCAGGTGCTCCGGAAGGGTAAGCAGATCCTGCTCTACATGAATCACTCGTCATGTTGCTCATGTTAGTACAAATCCGTAGATAAAAGAGACATGGAGTATATTTCATTGAGACGTTAACATGTAATAATCATCACGAAAAGGTCAACATATGGTCTTCAATAATAGATCGTGTCTATTACATGTGTCAAGTTCTTAATCACCCTGAAAGTGGTGAATACTTAACGGGAGCTTTCAAAAACATGTCGTCAATACGGATTTCCCATATCACAACAAAAAGACAATACGATATAGCCAAGACAACTACTCCGTACATGAATTTTTACATTCAGGGAGGTGATTGTGTGGCGTGTAAAAATCAGTTTTTATTCAGGTCTGACCTTGATTCTTTTATTCGTCGCAACACAGCATTTTTGTGCTGAGGCGGCGTAAAGCAAACATCAATAAGTCAATCACTTCTTTTAATCTCAATGACAATAAAGTTTCAAAAGTAACTCCAAAATTGTCTTAATATCATTACAGGACAAAAACTGAGCTCTGTAATACCAATATGAAAGAAAATAACAAAAACATACAATACAAGTACAAACAAAACAAAACATAAATTGAGAAAATTAGTAGCAGTTTTACTTAAACGAAAACAACCTCAAAGTACTAAACCTCTTGATATAAAATGAAGCCTTCCTACAATGTAAAGTCAGTGGCTGTACTTTTATAATTGCATACAGTAACATCATAATTATCATAAGACGACACAATCTGGCGTCTTTTCCAAAAACAAATTTGCACATAATTTCAGTGCAGAAAAAATTAAGTACACATATACGTATTTTTAGAAAATTTATTGTTTTTGTTGCCTTATTTCTGTTTTGAAATCGGAACTATTTATTTTTTCAATATCCTTTAATTTATTTGTTTATTTGCATTTTATAATTGTTATCATATAAGCAATAATAAAATTGAGAATGGAAATGGGGAATGTGTCAAAGAGACAACAACCCGACCATAGAACAGACAACAGCAGAAGGTCACCAACAGGTCTTCAATGCAGCGAGAAATTCCCGCACCCGGAGGCGTCCTTCAGCTGGCCCCTAAACAAATATATATACTAGTTCAATAATGTTTACATTTCTCAGTTTCTATCTATGAAATTTTCTTGCTTAACTTAAGCTTATACATGTTATAACCATTACAGATTTGACAGAAGAAAGGTTGTTTTGGTGTGATGCTGGGCTTCATCAAATCAAATCAGCTAACTTCGATGGTTCTGATGTTCAGTTGATCCGTAAGAGTTCATTTCAGATTGGACATCCTTTTGATATTGAAGTTGATGGAAATCATCTGTATTATGGCAGCTGGAATCATGATGCATTATTTAAAATATCAAAAGTACCTCAATCGTTTCCTGAACTCATCGTAGAAATACAACCAAATGATCCCATGGGTTTAAAAATATACAGATCTAACAAAGGTAATTATTATATGAGAATTATTTCCTATCTTTCATTGTTTAAAAATTATGTTTGTACTCTGAAACGAAAAGGTAACTATGTTTTCCCTTCAGCGATAAAAAACATAAGGTCTCTTATCATTTATTACTATTTGCAGAAAACAAAAATGTAGCTATCTTCTTTTTAAAGGGAACTGTTACAACTATGTCACTTTAGAAAATGAAGAAAAAAGATCGACCGGATATGCCCTGAGTTCACCAAAAGAAGAATATATCAGCGACGAAGGTCTGGAACCAGGATGGTATAGAATAATTAGTGAAAATGGAGATTATATGCCGATTTCTACCCCAGGGGTTGAAAAATGTGGAACGTAAATCCTATATGGTTGAATGGTAATATCTCGTAACACATTTTATTTACTTCAAATCAATGCAAATATATCGTTGTAAGAGAAATATTTCAAATATTCAATTTTTGTAAAAACAAAATAGTTCTTGATTAAGATTTTAAATGACGAATTCAAAAATTGTATGATAACTTTTTTTTTTTTGAAGAAATTTCATCCTAGGGCTACGCTAGATGATCAGGCTTTATAAAATGTTTGAAGGTACCTAAAAAGCGAACCAGGAATAAATTCCATGGCGGTCGAATATAACGAAACTTTCGGTTCAGGGTACGACGATATGACAACAGATTAACCAGTAATACGTAGTCTTGGTAAATAGGAATATACGAGTAAATCGACTTATCTATTGTTTATTATAATTCCAATCTAGATAAATATTTACATAAAATACAGTTTCGAATTAAAATCACATATACAAATGTTGGAGAAACTATTAGGCTATCGGCACATAACTTCCAAAAATCCTTATATACCCACTGCCACCAACTACGTACCAAGAATTCGACCTAAATCATAACTTTGGAATAACAGATAATTTGAATATCATATCCGCAACGTCAACATCTACAAATTGTTCTTTACTTTGCATATCAGTTCTAATAGTATACATTTAAAAAATTATGTTACATCTTTAGTTTTATATGTTGTGTTTTTTATACTGTTTTTGTCTTTTTCGTTTTTAGCGTTGTCAGTTTATTTTCTACTTTTTAGTTTGAATGTTCCTTTGGTAACATTCACCTCTCTTCATTGTCATGTGTACTTAATTATTTTTTTTCCACGATACATTATTTTCGTAATATATATATATATATATATATATATATAAATGTCTAAGAATATAACTTAAACACGCTAATTAATACATAAAAAAATTCTATTAGATTTTAAATATAAATACGCAATATTTCGCTAAACAAATAAGCTTCATCAGGCGTGTGCATCTCTCAAGGTGAAATCGGATGCATGACAAAAAATATTTTTGTAGCTTGAACTACACAAAATTGAGTAAACGTTTAACATATTTATTGATGTTCTATAAAAGATATATATGTTTGTAGCTACAACTACATAAAGTTGGAATAAAAGTTTAACATATTTCTTGATGTTCAATAAATTGTATGAATTTCTATAAATTAATTTGTATGATTTCAAGATTGTTATTTAGATTTGTTTTTCTTTTTTCGTCTCTCTCATTGAGTCCATCAAGTTCAAGAGTTCGTAACTGGTGCATCCAAAATCCCTCTCTCTTTTGTCTTCCTTGTGTATCCTATTTTGGTTTTTCTCAATGATTTGAAATGTTACGTTTTCAAAATCATGCCCTGCTCTTAAAAGATGTCTTGTGATTGGGCTGTTTCTTTCTTTTGTATAAAATGACCGATGGTTATTTAGTCGGATGTTAAATGATGTTTCTGTTTCACCAACATATTGCAACTTGCAAGTTCCACACACTAGAACATAAATGCAGTTTTGCGTTTTGCAATTTGATGTTATAAATGTGTTGTAATTTTTCTTTGTGACTGTGCTGACGAATTGGGTTTCGATGTTGGCGACTTTGCAGTACTTACAATTGCCCCTTCCGCATGGTTTATAACCTCATATTGTCGATATCTCCTGTTTAGATAATTTAGATGTTACTAGAATATCTTTGAGGTTTTTTGGTCTACGGTAAGCCATGACGGGAGGTGATGGACAAATCTCTTTTAAGGAAGGATCATTTTCAATAAGACGCCAGTGTTTGTGGACAATAATTAACAAAATAAACAAAAATTAAATCACCGTTTGGGACAACTCAGACAGCAGCTTAAATCAAGAGGTTATAAGAACAATAATATTTCAGAAGCTTTCTGTAAAGCAAAAGAAAAAGACCGAACAAACCTGCTTGAATACAAAGAGAAGACGGCCCAGACAAATAAAATTCCATTTGTTGTCAGCTTTCATCCTGACCTGACAAATCTTTCATCTACTGTCCACAAACACTGACGTCTTATTGAAAATGATCCTTCCTTAAAAGAGATTTTTCCATCACCTCCCGTCATGGCTTACCGTAGACCAAAAAACCTCAAAGATATTCTAGTAACATCTAAATCATCTAAACAGGAGATATCGACAATAGGAGGTTATAAACCATGCGGAATGGGCAATTGTAAGTGTTGCAAAGTCGCCAACATCGAAACCCAATTTGTCAGCACAGTCACAAAGAAAAAATACAACATATTTATAACATCAAATTGCAAAACGCAAAATTGCATTTATGTTCTAACGTGTGGAACTTGCAAGTTGCAATATGTTGGTGAAACAGAAACATCATTTAACATCCGACTAAATAACCATCGGTCATTTTATACAAAAGAAAGAAACAGCCCAATCACAAGACATCTTTTAAGAGCAGGGCATGATTTTGAAAACGTCACATTTCAAATCATTGAGAAAAACCAAAATTGGGATACACAAGGAAGACAAAAGAGAGAGGGATTTTGGATGCACCAGTTACGAACTCTTGAACCTGATGGACTCAATGAAAGAGACAAAAAAAGATTTAAAAACAAATCTAAATAACAATCTTGAAATCATACAAATTAATTTATAGAAATTCATACAGTTTATTGAACATCAAGAAATATGTTAAACTTTTATTCCAACTGTATGTAGTTGTAGCTACAAACAAATATATTTCTTATAGAACATCAATAAATATGTTAAACTTTTACTCAAATTTTGTGTAGTTCAAGCTACAAAAATATTTGTTGTCATGCATCCGATTTCACCTTGAGAGATGCACACGCCTGATGAAGCTAATTTGTTTAGCGAAATATTTCGTATTTCTATTTAAAATCTAATAGAATTTTTTTATGTATTAACTAGCGTATTTAATATATATTCTTGGACATTTATATAATTTTTATTCAGTAACTGTATCAGTTTATTTTCACAAACTGATCCACGCCTAAATAGATTGAATGTTGATCGTTGCTATTTTTAGACATTATATATATATATATATATATATATGATTTAATTGATTGATTATTTTTTACAAATCCAATAGGAAGGTTTTGCAAAGTTGGTCTGCAGGTATTAGGACTGAAATTGTGACCACCAAAAAATAAGGGTGTGTTGGATAAGGTAGAATATGTGCCTCATACCTTGCCACATACGGACCTCTTAAGAGTTTTTGTGAGGTTCTTTACCGTACAGAGAGCAAGTCACTCTCCCTATACGAGATATCGGATTAATGTCCTCGTTTAAATTGAAGTGGTTGCGTGTTTTTACATTTCCCACAGCCATACACACAACATTTTTAGCAGGTTTTACAGCCAGATGAAGAAGTCATGGGAGGACAATATTTCTATACTGCAGTCAACCTTTGAGGTTTTATTTTGGAATGGTCAATATTGACACGATTATTACAAAAAAAAGAAGATGTTGTATGTTTGCCAATGTGACAACTTTTCACCATGGACCAAATGAAGTAAACGTGAGCAACTATAAGTCGACGCCCGGCCTTCATCAATGACCAAAATCTATACCGCATATTAAGCTGTCAAAGATCACGACATGACAAATGTGCAACAATTCAAACGTAAAAAGCAACGCAACGGCTTTATCTATGCACAAAACAATTAGCAAAAAACAAATATTATAAACAGTACCAAACGACATTCACTGAGTTATATGCTCCTGTCTTGAGATAAGTACATCATGAAATAGAATTTTGTGGGGTTAATCATGTTTCGGAGGACCCTACCCTCCCCTAACCGGCAACAGAGGTGCAACAGACCAAAATAAGAGTAACCTTTAAAAATTAAATAAACAAAAGTCTTGACTCATCACATCGACATAAAGCACACAAAAACAAAAACAAAAAAAAAACCAAAAAGATTTAAAACATAAAGTATAAGTCTGAGAGTACTTGCAGTTACTAAAACCTAGGTCAAATCCAATAAACAAATGGCCAGAGAGAGCACTGTTATTTCGTAGTGCATTTCTTTTAGACAAAAAACGCAAATTAAAAAAATTGCACCTGCTGTATACAGAATAGATTTTTACAGTGTAATGTACTACTTTTGTGAAAAATTATATCAAAATTATAGAAAGGTCTATCGGCTCTAAATCAAAATATGGACAATTTTAAGTTAAGGGGGTTTGTAATTCAGTTTGACAGCTTCAGACATACTAATTTTTGACCTTTTCAAACTGGACCACTACTTTACTTAAAAAAACATGCCCCAATTTTTTTTAGCATGTAATTTCATCCCCTTACTTACTATTTTATGCATAAAATATAAAGAAATAAATTTGGAAGCTGTATAAAAAATATTTGCAACGTTGTACACACTTGGGACTCTTTTTGTAGACAACGAAAATCAAAGGACGATAACTTTATCCCCGGACCTAATTGGATAGAGAAACTTGACCAATTTTAATCAAATTTGGTTTGATCTAAGATTAGGGAATTATAAGACGGATTGACAGTGTCATGGCAATATAATATATATTCAAGACCATATGGTCATTCTTATATTTGAACTTTCGGTGTTTAATTTTGACGTTTTAATTGAACAATTTCAACTATCAAGATTTGGGCATACCAAATTTAAATATTGCAAGAAACTGCTTTTTAAATGCCTTTATATATAATGTAGCATGTTTTAAAAGCAGCTTAACACTCATTTGATGTTTCAGATTTATAACAATTCTTCAAAAGTCAAATTTATATGAGCCTGTGCATGAAAATAGAGATTTTCCAATAAAGGGGGGACTTATATAAATTTGTAGTTTTGTCCATCAAATCAAATTTTTTTAAATAATTTTGCTATAAATAATTCTTCCATATATACTTAATGAATTTAACTGGAAAGAAAAGTTGCAAATAGCATACCACATGAATATAAAATGGTCCTAGGCCATGTAAGACTTAAAATAATTTAGTGTCAATTTAGGCTGTAACACATATTTACATATAAAAATGCAAACAGAATCTATAGGAAATAGAGATTTATTTCTTTTTGGTCATTTCTATACTAAGGTTACATGATACAAGAAGTCTGAGTTCAATAGGACTCAAGCATTCTATTTTTTTGCAGACAGCTTAGTCTGATGCATAGTTTTTTCACTTTTCAGTTGAAAACTTGCATGAAATTTTGGTGTTAACAGGCATATATTTGAACCACTTTCTACTCTACAGGAGAAAAAAAAGGTGTCATATGAAAGTAAATAGGCACAGCAATCATTGTAAAGTGCTTCCTATACATATTTAGTGAACTCTTTATGATGGACTTCAACTTTTATGTAGACAGCTCCTTATATTTCACTTCGTTCAAACAGGCCGTTAGACCAGGACTATAAATACAACACATTTTGCACATTTTTTCTGTGATAATCTACTTTTCTCTATATTCAAGGTTCACAAATGATTATAGAAACTCGAATTCAGCCTAGAAACACAAATATCAAAATACCTGTCAGACAGAAAGTCAGCTTGCCGCTCAAGCATAAAAATGAAAATTGGTTTAAAATGCCTATTTCAGCCATTTAATGCTAAAATTTGACATTTTTACAGAATTTCTATCAAATAAGATGAAAATCCTTGACTTTCATTCAGTTTGACAAGTTGATACCCTCAAATCATTCAGGGAAGTTGCCAAAGTACAGAATCTACATTTACTGAATTTATCTCTTAGGCCCAAGAACACAGTCAGTTATTTCG